CTTTCTAATAATAATATCCAAAAGGAAATGATATTTATTATTGTTTTGGAATATAATATTAATTTAAAAGAAGAAATCTTTTGTATTATTGATATTTTTATTTTTATACTTTAGAAATCTTTGAATTTTTGGAACTTTTTTAAATGTTATTAAGTTAATAAAAATATTTAATTAATAAAGTTTAAGGATATATTATAGAGTATTTATAGAATTATTGATTTTATTTCTTTATTGAGGAAAAATATTGGAATATTGATAAGTTAGTATATAATTTCAAATAAAATATATAAAATCTCTTTATATAGTTTTATTTATATTTAGATATATATTTATTTATATATATCTATATTTATTTACATTTACTATTAATAAGATATCTACTGTATACTTTATATCGTAACCTCAACAGGACTCTCGGCAAAAAGCTCAAAGATTTCTGAGCTTGGCCTTCGACCTCCTCTCCAAACACTATATGGACCAGACTCCTCTGGTACAGGACTGGTGTCGAAATCAAACTCCCCTTGTATGTGATGGGTGTCGGAATCAGGATAAATGACTTCCGCCGCGAAGCTTCCTGATCCGGACATGAATGCGTTCTCAAAAAGTTCCCCTTCCTGAAATCTCAAAAGATTTCGATCATTTGTCGAAATTCTCTCTTCGGCTCGAATACCTGTTACAGCATAACTTTTCAGGAATTCCAGTCGTGCCACACAGTCCCTGTATGACTTGTTCATCTTATCCACGATCCAATAATGCAAATCTTTCAAATTCTTCGTACGATTGCCTTCCGGTTCTAAAATCTCATCCTGAAAGCGTCTGGATAGTCTGAGAGTGGTCATTTCTGCTCTTGGGTCGATTCCCAGAAGCCCATCCTCCGTGAATGTGTCCTGTCTTTTGTAAACATGAGAGGCTACATATCTGGAGAATATCAATTAGTATATCTAGCTTAATAAACAAGTGCTATTCAAGTCGCCATCCCTTGGAATGACGACTTGACATAAGCTCAGAAGTACATACTTGATAAGGGAGGGATCACGATCTTCGCAGTTGTTTCGAGGCGTGGAGTTACGTTCCCAATTTTCGAAGATTGTCGTGGCACTTTCTTTATTCCAACCAATGCACCTCAAGGCAGCAATACTCAAAGTGCTTTGGGGAAGCACCAAAGGTGGTTGATTGGAAGCATCGACCGGGACGATACGAATAAAGTCATGGAATAAGCCATCCCTTGCCCATTTTGGTTGAAGGTCTTCCATTACTTGAGTGCAAAAATTGGTGTCTATTTTTCAGGAGGTTAGCGAATTGAGCCCATTGGATTGTGCAAATATAACAAATAACTTACTCAAGATGGCTGCGTCAACTTTTCGTGTCCCTTCAACGGACACACCCAACAAAATATTTTGTCTTGTGAGGAATTCCTCTTCCCGGGGAGTAAGACTGTAACCTGGCGTTCCGTTTGGAGAGACAGGGGTAGGACGGTATGTGAACAAAGACATGGTCACCTTTGTCGAGGATGAATATGCGTCGAGAAAGGTTATAAAAAGAGATGGCAATAGGTTGATATTGTATGATTTATGCTTTAGGGTAAAAATATGATATTAGGAACGTTCTCTGAGTAATAGGTGTTTGCACAAGGGGTTATGCTGGATAAAGATAATAGAGGTGGTATGCTTTAGGTCGAAAATATGATATTAGGAATATTCTCTGATTGATATGGGTTTTAGCAAGTTGCGTATGTTTGAGGGAAGAGAAGAAGATATGTATTTTCCAACTGTGCAAGTGATCAGAACGTACTTGTCTCTCATTTTTGTACACAACATACTTTGCTTCACGCCTAATTAGTCTCAACAGTAGCTCAGACTAGTACTCGAGTAGCAAGTATATCAAGAAAGTTGAATTACACTTTTCCTGATTCCTTGAAGATCAGTAAGTGACTTACTCAATGATCAGTTCTGACCCACCCACTATCCTATGAATGCATTGTTAGTAAGAGTAACGACCTGTGTTCTCTTCAAAAAGGACCATGACTTGCTCTAGCCCCTAGCTTAGTGGAAATAATACTACTCATAATTTTACTCGTTGAATATGAATGCCAATGCAGATAGGGGCCCATTTATACTTGATGTCTTGACCTGTTGGTCTAGTGTGATATGACACTGGAAGTTGTAATACAATTTGCTGATGGTTTATGCATGTATATACATAATGTATGGACATGGATGTAAGGGATTGATATGATGCCAGGTTAAAATGCAAGCCGGTTGAGCAATAAAGGAAAGGGGGAAGGGAATAACTCCCTAACTTCGTCACTGCCATATTGAGCAGGCACATCACCTCGACCACTACTTGATTAATTTCAAGGACATGGAGGTAATGTGATTTAAACCTGTGCAATTTTTATGCGTCCACTTACTGGATGTCTCTTTTCATTTTATGAATCAATTAGGATAGCGTCTAACCCAAGTAACTGAGAACGGGTCTAGCTATATTCAGTCTAATTGTTGATTGTACCAGAAAGCCAAACGGATCATATAATTGGAAGAATTAGCGAAGTGGATTATCTCATGACTTCATATTTCTGTTCAAGCAATGAATAGTAAGCTATATCTAGCTTAGTGTGATTGACAACTAGATTAAACACAGTTGGACCCGTTCTCGGTTACTAATCTATAATTATTGATCATCCATTACATTCATTATTCGACCGGCATATAACATGTATGGACACCAGGTTGAACCAAACATTAAACATCGTTGATACAGCAACCGTGTATGCGCTACTAGCCTGGCGTCTTGTCAATCACCGAATGCAAGTGAGCAGTGCTGGACATGGTTATAGGGATTATATTATCCGGGAATTACAAGTGAAATGTAGAAGATCGGGCCGGATTACTGTGTACTCGAATATTATCATCCAACAACTAAACATAATCATCATTCAGATTTCCTTCCAAGCCATACTGAGAGTTTATAATGTCACCTGTGATGCTCTAAAATTCTAAAGAGCAAAGTCTATTCACGCACCCAGGGTTCCAACTTCTTGGTCATCGCGTGAATCTTCCATTTTAAGATTTCTCGGATTATCAGCACTACCAATAACCACTGATAATCAAAATACAATTCCGTCAAGGAGTTGATGGATAACACGGGCATTTTAAGTTTCCATTACCAACGTAAAGGCAGAATCAAGCGAAAAGAAATCAACTTAAAGCTCTCCGTTACACCCAAACAGTGGCAAACACACATTGGGATTTTGAACTTGACATGGCATTTGTTGCGAAACTGTGAATGCAGTCACGGCATCTCGCGCTAAAGCGTGTCGCTGTTGCGTCCATATAGGCCTTCCCGCTCTCGAAAGTGGGAATAGCCTCATTTTTAGTCTACTCTTCGCTCAAAAAACGACAGAGCGTAGCGACTCTTACAGCGAACTACTATTATAGTCCGTAGGCAAGGCCTATACCGATAATAATAAGGTATAATATCTCAACTATATACTTAGAATTACCTAGTAACTATCGGAGCTTCGAGTCGGGCCAGCTAGCCACAAGATTTCTGATCTTACCAGATGCGTTAAGTCTATTAAAAGATTTAATCATAGATTCATTATATAGTTATTAGACTAAATATAGATTTTTGGAATTTTAGCAATTTTCTATAAAAAGTTATCAAAACCTAAAATATAAAATTTCGATTTTATATATAATTTATATACTTAATTCGAAATATTAAAAAAAAACCCTAGTAATAACTTTTTAACAAATATAATCAAAAACAGTTTTCAAATTTTTATATAATATTTAAAAGTTTGTAATTATAGAAAACTAATTTATTTTTAATAAAGACTAGTAATTAATCTTTTATTTGAAATATTAAAGATTTTTATAAAAGAATCTAGATATAAAACAAATTATTATTAATAAAAGTTTATATATATTTATATATTATAATTCTAAAAAAGAAGTATAATTTATCATTTCTTATTTTCAAATATTATATAAAAACAAAACAAATATTTTCAATCATTTTTATTAAAAAGATATTAAATGTTTTAATTTTGTATATAGTAAATCGTATATAAAATAAAAGTTTAAATTTTAAACTTTAATAACTTTTATATAAAATCGCTCAAACCGCTAAATCTTTTAATATAAACTAATACCTATATAAAGAATCTATATTCCAAGATTTATACTCGTATAATAATACTCAATATTGATAGAATTATAAATACTCAAAAATCACTATTCTTGATGTAAAAGGGTAGCCCAAAAGGGGGGTAGTAGACTTATCTTTAAATTCAGATCTAAAGAATTATCTCTAAAACATCTGAAGATAATTCATTCAATTCAATCAGCCCTCTGTATAAACACTTATAGTATTATACTATCCAAGTCTCTATGATACGAGGAAACCTCAGAATGGGATTGCCTCATAAAACAATAATACGGTACACTTGAACCATATGGAATAGCCACATCACCACCAGGCGATACCAACAGTATCATATGATATGAACGAACAAAATCCACTGAACAAAATAGGCTAGACCTACAGGATATAAACCCAGAAGATACTACGGGTATAACGAAACAAACAATAATATGATAAACCCTTGAAAAGCCAGCACTGAGCATGCGATCCAAGGGACTTACTTGTAAGCTTCGACATAAAAACCATTCATTAATCCAAGAACAAAGATCCGATGGAAATCTGATATCTAAAAAAATAATCTAAAACTTATAATTCTCGTGAGCCACAGCCAATTATTTTTATATCTGTCAAGATAACAACTATTGTATTTTGCCTTTATTATATATTTATGTGGGTCGCCCGCACACCCACCCCCAAAGTTCAAACCCAGCAAACTCGCGCTCGCAAAACCTTCATACCCAATAGAATATCCATCCATCCATCCATCCATCTCCCGATCTTCGCCCACTTCTCCCTATAAAACCCTGCTCTGAACATCTAACTAGCCCACAGAAATCCTAATTCGCGAGATTTAAACCTACACTTAATTCATTCCCTGGCTCCCTAACGATATTAGATGATCATGTTTAGCTTCAATGCTCTCTCGAGAAACCGGAATGTTTGAATTGTCAAGGATGAGATATGGTGAGGCCCATGCACTTACTCTCGCTGTGGAAGAATTACAAAACGAACAAGGATGAAGTCAGTCTATGATTTTCATTTCTAAGACTAGTGACTAGATTTCGAAATTGTACTAGGAATTGTACATCCGTACTCCCTGCTCTGCAGCGAGATAACTTTTGGCTCATGACATCATGACATCATGACACTAGGACATAAAATACCTACTACTTATGCCAACTAACTTTCATTTCACAAGATAATCTCGGGTGATTTGCAGTGTATAACATTTGTACTCGAGTAGTGAGATACAATTATATTGAAATTGAAATGAGCAACAGGGACTCCTATACCAGTATTGCTTTTGAGTTATAAGATAGGTATAACAAAATAATTGTAATATGCAATGTTGTACTTTTGCGATACACACAAAGAATTCCATTTGACACGGTTATCACCCCAGGTACCATCCATGGACATAGACACAGATGCGAGAATTGAAGATGTATCTTTCAGAAGACACTGCCACCCCTGATTTATATACGTGGAGTTAGGCTTTCGATGTATTTAAAAAAGAAAAACAGCTCGAGAATAGAACCATAAGATACGCAGTTATTTTTATTGGAGCTTTGTTACTTCCAAGTTAACTAACATGCTGAGAAATGGAAGGAAAGATAGTCCCCGCATAAGCTACCTTTTCCTAATTGGTTCAAGAATCAAAATCACTTATCTCCCTTCTTTCCCCTCTTCAAGTTGGAGATACTTGCTTTTCAACATAAAACAATACTTGGTGTGTGTTCTCTACAAGCTAGGTAGAAGAAATAGATATCGCAAAAGAAATGTGCATTTGTTCACTTAAAATCAAAGGTCGTGGAGATTGCCCAAGATAATAACTATCCAAAAACACTACGCCCGCGAAAGTATTTGAATCGGCATACGCCTTTGCTTTAATATCACGCTCCATAATACATAACAGAGGAAGAATCCATCCTTCAAATGAAAACCGCTTGTACAATCTTTGTTTCCTCGGGTTTAAGGGTATAGAGAAAAAGGATCAAAAAGGTGATGGGACAGAACCAAAGACGAAGAAGCAAAATTGGTCATAACTAGATATCTTTCCCTTAACGAAATTTTCCATCCAAGCACAGAAACCAATCAATTTCCACGGAGTATCACTAGATATTACGTGGCTATATTGTAAATAGTAGAGTGGAACTTCAACCAGGCTACAGAGTAGATAAACAAAGCAACGGCGAATAGTGAATAAAGAACCTGCGAGCTCATCAACGGTAGAAATCGACGGTGAGTAAACTTGTAGTCGAGACGTAAGGGAGAGGCACTTCAGTCAATTAGCAGGAATTATAACTGAGGCTACCGTTAGATCGGTCTCGGTAGGAACATCTGAGAGCCAGATATGTTTTGATAGTTCCGAAGCAGTGATACGTTCTCCAGGCAGGTATTTCAGAGTCTTTCGAAGTAAATTTTCAAGGGATTGGGCTTCAGCAGTAGATATTCTAAACCCAGAAGGCTCAAGGAAACTCTGGACATGGGCAGGGCCAAAAGTTAGTTCGACCTTGATAGAAGGTACTATCTCCTGATTCGGATTACCAGTCACACTTTCGTATACGTTTACTTGTTCAGGAGCATTGGTCTGAGACTCCTCTGGCATGTCAGGCAAAATTGCGGGAAGCTTCCATTTGGAAAGGCCGGTCGAGATACCCTCAGAGGAAGGAGTCTTCTCTGAGCTTTTGGCTTCTGAACTCTTGGCTTCTGAACTCTTGGCTTCTGAACTCTTGGCTTCTGAACTCTTGGCGTCTGAACTTTTGACTTCTGAACTTTTGGCCTCTGAACTCTTGGCCTCTGAACTCTTCGCCTCTGAACTCTTGGCCTCTGAAGTCTTAGCCTCGGAACTCTTGGCTCCTGAGCTCTTAGCCTCGGAACTCTTTGGATTTGATGATCCCGAACCCGGACTTTTTATGCCTTCATTGGAACCAGAGCCGGTCATTACTTGGCCGGGATCATTTACCAGTCTCAAAACCTCACCTGCTTCGCTGGATCTCAAATTCTCGGCCATCGCTACAAGTTGGTCTGTTTTGTCAAGCATGCTGTGGACGGAATGCTTTTTGAAATTTTCGACATCCACCAAAGCTTCATCCTTACGTTTGTTTCGTTGAGGAGGAACATCCCCATCGTGGGCGCCAGTCTCCATTATTTGTTGAAGCATATTTCCTGTTGATCCTCTGGCAATTTCGGTTTGTGTTTCATACCATTCAAGACCTTCTTGCCATACATCCCACCATTCATCAGGAAGAGTTCCTAAAAGCTTCACTATAGCTATCAGTACCTCATCTCCTGTCGGGACGCCGTTGTATTTGAACAATCGAGATCCGGTACGAATTTCGAATATTGTGCATCCCAAAGCCCATATGTCTGAAGCAATACTTCGGCAAAACCCGAATAAGAACTCAGGTGCGCAGTAACTTTTAGGAGTACCAATATCGTGGGATGGGCTTTTCTGAAGAAAGGCGATACCAAAATCGATTATTATAATCTCATCGGATAACCAGTTGGGATCGACCTCCTTCATATTGATTGCGACAACCGTATAATCGGGAAAGGAAGATTCTGATACAGAAAGACTAGAGCTGTCGTGTACAATCTCCTGTTTTTGTGGAACACCTAGTCTTTCGTAGATTTGATCCACGGTCCATTCGTCGATATTGGCAAGTTGTAACAGAATATTGGCAGGAGTGACATCTGAAATCCATAATCAATTAATCACAAGGTAAGAGAGGGGTTACATAATAATGCATACCTCCATGAACGATGCCGGTAGTATGAATGTAGTTCAAGCCATTTATAGCCTGTAAGCAAACATTCCGTGCCACAGAAGCTTCCAAACGCCGACTTCCTTTGTATTCACCAGGACATTCATTGAACTGCTTGATGCTAGGACCTCCGACTTCCGAAACCAGACATAAATGCCTTCCATTCGGACCTGTATGGAAGAAATGGTCTAACAAAGACATTACGTGAGACTTTCCGATGTGTTCCGGACTGAAACAATGGAGGTGAGTAATCTTGAATGAAGGATCTCGAGAGAAGATGAGAATCCGAAGCTTCACTAGAAACTTGAGAGGATACAGGAAATAATTCGTAAAATTGAAATTTTGTATCTTGGCATAATTGTGCTCTACTCACCTCATTTTCATCATACGTAAAATTTCCACTTCTGGTGAGCCACGTGACAATCGTGATGCAAGAACTTTCATGGCAACATATCTTTCCCTATTAGTATCTCGCGCAAGCCATACAGTTGCGAATCCTCCATGTCCTAATTTGTGTATGATCTTGTAGCGATCATGCTTGAAGAGATCGTCGAGGTGTATGGGATGAAAGCCTCCTTCACCATAATTGAGGGATTCGACACGCTTTGGACGAACGTTGGCATCATCCATCGCGAACTTTCCTGTCGGTAACGACATTTGTACCTAAGTAGGATAATATGAGGTAAGTGAGAATATTTTACTATGGCTGATCATCATTGTTGATGTATCGATATATTGATAACCTAGTACTCGAGTAGTTGAGATGGTTAACATTGAGCTCGCCACTATAAAGTTTTCCTGGCGGTTGCTGGCTACTTGCTGACAAAGCATCGGATGATTATTCTTCCGTACCTAGGCTTACTACAACTACACGTCTCTTCTTACCACTCCATCCGAAATGTATGTGGTAAAATCAACGACAATGATACCTAGATGTAACCCCTACGTGATCTGCCATTTCAACTACAGCTACATGCGTGCTCGCACTAACAAACCTCAGGTATCTCTTCTGAGCAATCCAGCAGAACAAGAAAACTGGCCTGATGCACACCTCGATAAAACCTTTGCTCATAGCTTCGTATCAGAACGCGATTCTATCGATGACCGGGTTGACAGAATTTCACGCAAGGTCGGCAAATGCGAAAGCACCGTGACATCTGTCTGCTATCTTGACATGGACGTAGAAAAATTAAAGCAAGACCCCATGAGATTCCTAGGTCTCTTATACAATCGTACCAAACATTCCCCTGAGCAATGGGCCAATATGACAATTCGCTGCTTGAAAAACACTGGGATATGGGTTCTTTGGCCCTCGACTACAACGCCCATAACCTCATAATGTCTGGCCCCAGATATGGCACGCTTACACAAGGGAAGAAGGTTGAAGCACATACGCAACTTGGGTGATGGCCAAGATGAGTTTCGAAGATTGGCTTATGGAATTTCAGATGGACATCTACTGGCTTTCCAAGAGCTATTCTCATTCTCGAAGCTCGGGCACATTTCCCTTCATTTCTCCGATCCATAATTTAAGCCAACTCTGGGGTCTCTCATGGAAAGCTAGTCAAGCATCTTCGATAAGATCTTTGAGCATGGCTCAATAACATCGAAAGGACCATCTGACCATCAATTACAGTCAGCTTCCGCTTATCTGTATCAACGTTTCTCAGCACCACACACTTTCAATATTGATTCTCTGTTGAAAATCGCGAAGGTAACACAAGGTGATACAAGGTTATCATCTATGGCTCCTTCAGACTGATCCTCTATACGCTCGACGCCATATCACTTAGCAATGACTAGTAACCTGGGAGAAGGTTTGGAAACTTTCCACCAATTTATTCTCGCATCATCAGTCACGACAATTCAGGATGCAGTCATCTTCTGGTCTTGGGACTTTGACTGTAGACGAGGTAAGTAAAGCTAAAGGAACTGCAGATTTCTTCCTATGAGAGTTTTGATCCACGGAAATCTCTATCGAAATTTTACGATACGGCATTAGGATCACTCGAGGCGTTATTGCCGAAATAGCTTCACTGCCGTTGGCAGTATCTTAAAGTAATCCTGCCCATGCATATTCGAGATATGTACCATATCACCACCGTCTCAGATCAGAACTGTACGCATTCACTTGATCTTGAAGAGATCCGATTTCACACCCCGATTCCAGTAGAAATATATTAGATTTTTGCTTGTATTCGATCACCTCACCGAGGAACATCATGAGAAAAAACCTAGATTTGAGTATGTAATACTGTTTGGTATGCTCGATGAGCACTTAGCTAAGTGCGGTGAAACTAAGGACATGAAAGAGCTGCTAGACTGCCCGAAGTTACATACTGCGCTTTATAATATGGCTGCAAGGACTCAGATGCTTGAGATGGTTCGATTCCATCGTCATCTAGACAAGAGAAGAGAAACTGAGGAGATTACGAAATTTGACAATGGTCATGGATGGAGTTACATCGAAAAGTACTTGGAACATCAATGCGAACCGAGAAATTTCTATCTCGAGAAGGATGATCATATTAAAACTATTTTCCCTGTGAGGGAAGATGAGACTCAGAAAACTATACTGGAAAATTGTTCGCGAACTGCACCCGAGAATTCTTCAATACACCGAAACCTAGCGGGGCGCATCTCAGGCAGCAATGGCTCGATAAGCATGATTAACAAAAGAAGGCACCTAGCCGTCTATGGGCGCAAATTCGAGCCCGTCATTAGCAAACACTTCGTCGCTTATGGTTTGACCTAGAGACATATGTCATGATCTAGCAATTCTCTTTGCACCTTGCTCTTTGTGGACAACACCCCTCAACATATCACATAAACCGAAAGATGAAATGCCGAAACCATCACAGATATCGCAGCCAGGTAGGCAAAATATGCTGCATCAATAGTAGAGGGGATCAATCAAAAGCAGTGGGGTCCCGCACAACCCGAGAGAGTCGAAGTCCCAACTCACTCCCAAATCAAAAGCATAAATCTCCCTAATATAGACAAGAATGAGAACGTTGAATTCACTCTAGAACCTCTCATCGACGCAGATACGATCGTAACACCACCGCTCGAAGCCCCAACTGGGCTGACTCAAAATACTTCTAAGTTGTTGGCAAGAACTCATACGCCATATTCCTAGTCCAAACCATGCTGCGTTCCCAAGCCTAGATTTCGAGGTGTACCGAGACTGTCTGTATCTTGGGATTCTCTCGTTTCGTGCATTATGAATACCAATACCATGACAAGACTGAGGTTGCGTTTGTATTTGTAGCGAGTCATATTACAGGCAGGAGCATCAGCCCAGTCGTGAAGTTCGAGTTTGGTGTGATGTGAGTTCGCCGTGGTTTAGACAGGACGGGGGAGAATTGTTTTTTATAACCTCATTTCGATTTCTGGGTGTATTGTTTATGCAAATTCAGTTATACAAATTCAGTGATTCTAGTAGCAATAGCAATAACAATATCAATATTAACGCAGATGTAGAAATTTATTTCTACAGAGGATTGAGACTGACTTTCAAGGTAGACAAGAAGTTAATAAGTAATGATATGATGTACTCGTACGTGTACGATGGGACGGGACGTGGCGGATAGGATGTTCGGTATGCGTTGGGTGTTGGAATTATGCATTTACTTTGTATAATCTCGTTTTGTTATATTTTGTTATATTATATTATATTTGATTCGAAGTCAAGAAGTTGGTTCGATACTACAGTAGGTTTGTTATACTGAGTACTGAGTACTAGGTTTCCAAATATCAAATATCATATATGGATGGATATATGTTTGGCGTAGGTACTTGGATCTTTCATTTTATAACTTGTTACTTGAATCAAATGACGAAATGATTATGAATATGAATATGAATATGAATCTTAAGTTGAATAAATATTTTTTTAACCCTTCATTTTCACTAGTGACTTTTCTTTCTATCTTATCTTTAAATTTAGGGGGTTTTGGCATTGTTGTTGTGTTATATGCGAGTAGAGAGTAATACGAAATTTACTTATTTACTCAAACATCTCATCTCATCTCATCTCTCTATTTATTTACTTTACTCACTTACTCCTTATAGTATTAGACCCGATAGTATATACTAGTATGTACTCGAGTAGATATTGAACCATCTGTTACTGGAGTAGTAAGATTTACAACTTGAAAAGAAAAATCTACGTCACTAATTCTCCCTCTCCTCTCCATCTCCATCTCCCTCTCCCTCTCCTTCTCTTTCACAACTATAACTATAACTATAACTACTCATATATTATAAAAACAACAACCATTCCAACACACACCTTAACCTTACTGCTTATCTATTACAACCTACAACCTACAACAAAGTACCCACCTACTGCATAGTACAAAGAATATTGAATATTATATTCAAAATTGGAAATATACTCGTACATAAAGTGGGGTGATATTATTTATTATACACTTGAATACTTGAGTATGAGTATGAGTTCGAGTATGAGTATTGCTGATGGCTTTAATGTTTGGATCCATTCATTAGGTAGCCTCCCTCGAATATGGAGTTGCTATTGCTTTCACTATCGCTTTCATGTCATGTAAGAGATGATGTATGTATGTAATATTTTGATGAATGATTTGATTTGATTGAGAGCTAGCTTTATCTAACTATTTAACTGATTGAGTAGCTTAGCTACAAGTAAACAAGCTGCATATATCCACCACACCCCAAACAGCAAATGCGATCTCAATCCCAATCCCAATCCCAATCAAGATCATCCTTATCCTGCAAAAAGAAAGAATTTATTTTTTTGGAAAACAACAAGTCCTCGGTATGTAGATGAATCTAATAGCGAGTAAACGAGAAACCACATGGTGACGTTAATCCTTTCGGATCTCAAAATCATCATGTAAAAAAACTCGTGTAAAAAGAAAGAAATGAAGAAAAGAAAGGAAAACAACAGATGACGACGTCGGTGTGTAGATAGATGTATGTGATATGTTGGCGAGAAATGGAGAGACCGCATAAACGTGGATCGATCTTTTCAGATCAGTATGTATATGCAGCCAGTGTTATGTATTTCTGGTATGGTGCTTTTCGCTTTTTATTTGGAGATCTGTTGGTGTGATGGCGAGTAAAAGGAGAGACTCCATGGTGAGGGAGATCTTTTCAGATCTGTAATGTGGTCGGTGTTATGCTTTTTTTTCGGTTTGTGCTTTCGCCTTTTCGTTCTTTTTTTGGGGTTTTTCTGGGTTTTTCGTATTGTTGAAAATTGAAATGAAATATCTCTTTCGCAAGATCCCCTGCCTCTCAAATGCATGCACTCGATCGTATATCCCTCAATCATCGAATTCATGCCACCAGAATTGCTTTTGTCGGATGCAAGCAAGATTAGGACAGCTAGTGATATGAACATAATCCGGTTCTCTCGTCTGACCATTCTACATAGACCAACGATTTCTTCAACAATTCATCGCGCTCCAGCGTACAAGCACCTTGGAAAACCAGTCGATTTGGTAATGGTTCGTACTTGTCACTCTTCGGATGTTGAACCCAGACAGTGGCTAGGACATTACGAAAACGATCATACGGCGATCTCATTCTTGGATTGATCATTCTTTCCATGACTTCTTCAGCATCATATGAGGTGGAGCCTGGGTTGTCGGGATATGTCAATCCTTCAAATAGAGCTCTATATGCGCGAGGAAGTACAGTTCTGGGAAAGCTCTTCTCGCATGTAACGAGCTTGAATCTTCTAAAGTCTCTGTTAGTATGTAGTACCTCGTTGACCTCCTGGATTGAACGATTTGCGAAGAAGGCAGATGCTCTTTCGGTATCGGTAAGAGGAAAATAGGTATGCCTGGCGTTATAATAGTTGTTGGTTTTACGTTCGAAGTCTGGGTAGATCTAATGAATGTCAGCGGACATAATCATGAGCATATAGATAGGTGATACGAACATTATCAAAAGCCTTGCTCATATCTGTGTATTTTTTCTGAGCATCATCGTAAAGATCTTTTAGTTTTCGGTGTTGCTTTTGTACCACATCGACAACATCATTTTCCTCCATCGCTTTGTTGAAATCTTGTAGTAGAAGACGAGAAGCAGTTGGATAGTCCTTTTGGAATTGGACAGTGTTTAACAACTATTTTAGACGAGTATTAGTATTAAGATGCATGGTACTGCTTGAAAAACGAACTTACAATCCTTCTCCTATGTACCTTGAGGGCATCTTCGAGAGCGTAATCAATTCTTGCAAGATCTAAGAAACGTTCATTCACATGGCTGGATATTTGTTGCAATTCGAGAATCCATTCATCGGCCGGACTGGAATCCGTGATTGGATTCGGGTCTGTGGTTACCCTCTTGTGTGGTATTGGACTACTCATGACTGATGAATCCTGAAGGGAAAGTATCAAATACCAGTATTTTTCAAGAACCAAAGTAGATGATGTTGAATGTAATAAATTAGATGTAGAGGAAAGAGAGTAAGCTGGAAGGTAAATTCCCTTTTATGAAAGAAGGCCCATACGGCAGAGCCAAATATTAAATGACCATATTCCGTAGGTCATTGGTACCGCAACAAGCATAAACTTAGGAGAATGTGATGAGAAGGACATGGAAGATAGTAGAGATGGATACGACAATTTCACACCATCGTCGCACAAATTGAGAATAAAGCTTACTTCGTAGTTTTGCGACAACCATCTCCTCGTGATCCTGTAAGAAAGCCAAGAAGACTTGAGTCGGAAGTTTTATGAGAGTCTTTCGCGTTGATAGAAGAAGAGAAACAGGGAGAGGAAGTTATTGTTGTACAGAAATCGCACTTGAAAAGGTTGTGTGTCGAGAAGAAAAATAGGAATAAGATTTTTGAGAGCGAAGGAACTCTTTTAAGAGCTTTAGTAATGTAATAAAGAGTGAATATCAATGGATCATTAACTCATATCTCGATAAACACAGCCTCGAGAGGTGAATTATGCCAAAATTTTAAGATTAGAGAAAATACAATTTTTATTACGTACAAATAATACACCTCGCTTTGCGTAAAGTTATAGCAATAGTATAGCTCGTATAATTACAATACGTGATTTATATACTAATATAGAGCGAAGGAGGGCTTATTATTGGCTAAATCGAGAGTAAATATACTCTTCTTAGTAATATTATACTAGATCTACTAGCTCTCTCTCTCTCTTCTCTCTCTCCTCTCTCTTTTCTCTCTCTTATATCACTTACCTCTCACTTACTTCTATTCACCTACTCTCTATAGATAGAAATAAATAAGGGAGCTAGTAAACCTATACTAAGAGATTAATTATCTATATTGAAGTGAATCTCTAAATAACCTCAATAATTATATATACTACAATATCATTATAAAAATAAAGCTAAGTATAATCAAGCTCTATATATAACCTAGCCCTATTTTATATCAAGCGCTCAACTCTATTACTAGTATACTATAATCTTTTCGATATCCTTATTAATAATCGCAGATATCGCATTTTCCAGCATTTTCCATTCGAAAACACTTTGAGAATCTCTTTCCCTATTCAAGTTCCTAACTCATTTTCACAGGGCCCTTTCAATCTTTCAATCAACTCTTTCAATTTTCCTTTCCTTTCCTTTCTATCTTCACTTTCTTCTTCAGATCCTAATTATCTACTTTTCTCGATTTTTCCATTATTACATCACATACCAGTAGCATTCTTTCAACTCTCTGAACCCCTCTTCCTCTCCTCCTCCTCCTCCTCCTCCTCCTCCTCCTCCTCCTCCTCGACTCTTCAAAAAACATCCATCGACTCTGCGAACCTCATCTCATCTCATCTCATCTCAATTCTTCTTTTTCAATATTTCTATATCTATCACCTTTTCAAATTCATATCAAAATATATACCAAATGCATATCAAATTCATACCGGTATATAATCACTACTATATCCCCTCAATCTCACTCTCACTCTCATTTTCCAACACGAATTCTCCATTCTCCACTATTCTCCATTCTCCATTCTCCATCCCAAAACTTCTCTTCCAAGCAATCATAATCTATCATATCAACTAATACTCTAGAAACCGAGTTCATCTTCCCGCATTACATCATTCAACAACCACTAATTATCTATACTCCAGTAAAGCAGTTATCCATCCTCTACACAGACCTACCTATTACCAGTAAAACCAATTCTTCTTCATATCAATACTCCCATTTCAATACTCTCGCATCTATAACCTCTATTGACTTTCTACTCTAACCCTAGTATTCATATCATTCATTATAAAACTATACATAGCGAGCGAGAGCATCGATTTTTCTCGATTTCACCACTTCAATTTATTCACTTTTTTTACTTTCTTCCTTTATATACTATCTATCTATCCATTAATAACCCCCTCTCCCCCCACCCCCGCCCTAATTTCTCTCTCCATTACATATATACATCTATTCACTATTCCAATCTAATCAATTCGATACCAATATCTTATAATCCCATAATCTCATAATCTCAGATACCACAATACAGTATTAAGATTATCTATCTACTCATACTCGTACTCGTACTAACATCTAATCTCTCCAGATGAAACAAACTCACTTAATATAACATAACATAACATAACATACCTATCAAAAAAGAAACCCCAGATTCTAAACCCAGCCAGGTTTATCTATCTATTATTGAATCCCAAGGATATTATTCAATTCAATTCAATTCAATTCCATTCAATTCAATTCTTCCCTTCTTTCCTTCTTCCCTTCTTTCCTTCTTTCCTTCTTTCATTTTCTTCTCATCAATTTTCTATTCAATATTCAAATTATACTAACTATATCGATCGTATCATACCATACATATCCAATCGACACCCACTCACTCATACATTATTTCAAGTTCGATTTTGATCTTGATCTCATACTCATACTCATACTTTTAATCATTATAATTATTATACTCGAGTAACCGTTAACTCATACGAGTAGAATATGAATTAATTACTTCTTTTCTCCTCTCTCCTCTTTTCCCTCTCCGCACATCCCTATCCCTATCCCTCTCACCCCCTCCCTCCCTCATATCCTCCATTCCCAACATCCTATCCAAATAGGGTTTGAGAAATAAAATAAGATAAGCCAAATCATCAATATAAATATATATACAAGAATCAAGTCATTAAGGACCTTCCTCTTTCTTTCTTACTTTGTGACTCATTACACGATTTACATCGTCTCCCTCAGGCTCTCCATCATATCTGATTCTCAGGTCGTATGTTTTTCTTCAACTCCTCGATCTTTTTACTTCTTCCAAGTTCCAACCCTTTTCATATCTTCTTGCCCCTCATTATTGCCATCGCCATCTCCATCCCCATTTTCAAACCATTCTCCTATGAATAATCAATGGCCACCAACCAATTACCATTAACCAACCAATATCAAAACATTATCCTTTCCTGACCGTCACAGATTCATCCAGAACATCCCACTCATCCTAACCACCTACCCACCCTACCATCACCTTCCACCCCGTCCCTTCTTCCCAGAAACCAAAATACTCAAAGTTGAAATTGAAACCAATGCCATAAATGAACGTATATTCAAGTTGGGTATATTACTCACCCCTTCCTTCCTTTCTTACTCCCTCTCTCTCTCTCTCCGCCCCTCTTCCTTCCTCCTCCTCTCCCTCCCTCCGCATGCATGCATAAAGATCGTGGTGTATCATTCTCATTTCCCCATCCCCATCCCCATCCCCATCATCAACGGATGATACATATACCCAGTAACTTAAATCCCCAACTTCAAATCAAATCAAATCAAAGATCGTATACTCGTATATCATATCAAATCATATCTTCGAACTATTGAGATATTAAAGAGCCAAAAAAAGGGAAAAAACATGATATAAAACCGATCAAGACCCGTGCGAGAATGCAACATATCCTTCGAATTTTGTATCGTTTCGATTTATATCGAGTCATTTCGTTCCTTCCCGATTCATTCATATAATCGTAAGAATAATATATAAAAGAGAGAAAAAAAAGATCCAAAACTGAAAGTGAAACTTCAACATCGATGCAAAAAAAGTCCAAAAAAAACAATACTAATAATATCACACCCCTACCCTACCCTACCCCAATAACCCAACAACAAACAAAACAATCAGCAAAACCCAACTCGAAGGTCTTAAGCTCGAACCGCTTCCCTGGACAGGTTCAGTAGCCGACGGACTAGCAGATCTAGAGCTGGTGGATGAAGAAATAGTTGAGGATTGAGTTGTTGGGGATTCAGTTCTTGGACTTGGGGATGAGGTTTGAGATTGAGGTTGAGGTTGGATGGACGATTGGATGGAAGATTCGGAGTTGGATGTTAATGCGGAGCCTGGGGGAGAGCTGGAGCTGGAGCTGGAGATACTTAGGCTGAGGATGCTGGAAGTGGCTGTGGATAATGATTGGCTTGTTGAACGTGGACCTGTTGATGTTGACTCGCTTCCGCTTCGACTTCCGCTTCCGCTTCCAGATTCTGTAGCTAAAGATGAGCCACCTCCGCTTTCAAGAGCTGTAGGTACGCTAACCACTGCAGATGAAGATCCAGATGATTGAACTCCTGTAGAACTTGCACTCGAGGAAGTAGATGATGCTACAACCACCGGCGCAATTTGGCTCGTAATACTAACGCTTGGACTTGCACTTTTGCTCTCGCTCTCGATCTCAACCGCACTAGAACTTGCTTTGACCGTGCTACTAGTAGTAGTACTAGCCTGCACTGGAACCACTGTCGCCGTCCTAGTAATTACCCGCGTAGCCGTACTAGCAGCAACTTCACTCTGCGGCACTTGCGCACTGCAAAAGTCCAAAAATTGTCCAAATTTCGGCTTCACATATGTTTGCAATGATTGTTTCACATTATTGCTATTTGCCTTGATACAAGCTTCGCATGAAGAAAGATCGGATGTGAAGGCAGAGTCGGAGGCACATAGAGCGGGGGATTTGCCGACTTTAAGCGCTTCGATGTAGCAATTGTTGCACGTGGAATAACAGACTGCAGGAGCGACGGTGGAGTCACGTTTGGTAAGGAGGTTGAGATGCTTCGGGGTGGATTCTGATGGGGACGAGCGTTTAGAGAAAAGTCGGGGAAGGAGTCCACGCCGGACTGCGACTGAAGGAGTGACGAGTGCAGAGGTGGAAAGACCGGTTTGAGTTCCGGCTGGGTAGTGGGAAATGCCTCTTTGGGATGTCCAATCACCTGTCGTGAAAGTTTTAATCGTTTCATATCCTTCATTACCAATGATAACTTCAGTGATAACTTTCTCAATAAAAATGCCGAAACTGAGACCAAATGCATTGGGGTTGAGGTTGAAGTATCCGGGTGTTGGTGGGTAGTACCCAGTTTCATTTTTTGGCCAGTATACTTCTGTTGTATTAGGAGCACGGATACAATATTTGGCTTCGCAGAGATAGTCTTCGGCTGGTGGATCAGCCCATAGAGCACAGTGGTCTGTCTTTGGTGGATTGCAAATGTATCCTGGAGAACAACCGAATACTGCAGATGAACTTGAGTCTTGTGGGGTCACTGGACCGGAATTTGTTGGGGATGGGCAGGTGATTAGTTCTGTTACAGTTACGGTAGATCCGGGGCCAGTTACATATGCTGTTGATCCTCTCAAGGTTGCTCCCACACTGATGGTCGTTGAATAAACGCTTATTGATCCAGGGAGAGTTGATACCACAGTCGATCCAGCTTGCGTATATGTGACTGTTGGCCCCGCAATCGATTGAGTTACTGTGGAGATCGAAATTGAACCAGGAAGGGTCGTTACGGATCCAGGGAGGGTGGTCACGGATCCAGGTAACGTGATTGTTTGTCCTGGAGCCGTAAATGCTGATCCTTGGATGGTAGTAGTTTGTCCTGGAAGTGTGATGACCGATCCAGGAAGGGTAACGATGGAGCCTGGTAGAGTTATTGTTGGGCCGGGAATAGTTAATCCAGGCAAGGTCAAGGTTGAGCCAGGGAGCGTTACAATCGATGTGCTTCCTGACTGGGTTATAATTGTCAAAGATCCTGATATCAATGATGTTACTGTAGGCCCAGGAATTGATATAATCGATGTACTACCCGGTAGGGAAATCGTAGTCAGGGATCCTGATATTAGTGATATTACTGTAGACCCGGGGATGGTTTGAATCGATGTACTTCCAGGTAGGGTAACTATTGTCAAAGATCCAGGCAACGAAACTGTAGGGCCAGAAATAGTCAAAATCGATGTGCTGCCAGGCAGGGAAATTGTGATCAAAGAACCCGAAATGGAAGTGGTAACAGTTTGATCAGGAACTTGTTTATATCAGTATAAAATCTATCCATGATTCTTATGTGGTGGCTTACGTGAGGTAGTGATATAAATATTGGAAGTTATTGTTGGGCCGGGAAGTGTCAAAATCGATGTACTGCCGGGGAGGGAAATCGTGGTCAAAGATCCCGAAATGGAAGTAGTGATAGGTTGACCAGGAACTTGATCTTATCAGTATAGCATTCATTGAGGAAAATTATACTACTTACTCGAGGTAGTGATATATATATTGGACGTTATGGTTGGGCCGGGAACTGTTAAATTTGATGTACTGCCGGGTAAGGTAATTATAGTCAAAGATCCTGATATTGAGGTTGTGATTGTTGGACCAGGAACTGGAAATTGTCAGTATGAGATCTAACAAGCAGTTGGATGTATTCTTACTTGAGGTAGTGATGTAAAGATCTGATGTGACGGTGCTAGCTGGGAGGGTAACTAGCGACGTGATGTATACATCAGAAGTGATTGTTTTGCTAACAAATATCGTTGACGCAGATTGCGTAATTGTAACTGGTGTTCCCGAGATTGTAGTCCTCAAAGTTACGAGAGGGAGGGTGATTGTATCGATCGAGATCGAAGTTGCAACTGCAAAATTAGCACGTATAAATTGCATCACGCTCTCAAAAACCTACCAGACGTAGCAGTTGTAGTGGTAGCTAAAGATAATTAGCAATCTGCATATAAAACATATATCCATGAGGGAATTACTTCTCAGGTCGGTTTTGGTGAAACTAGCAGTCGTTGCTTTATTCGCTGTTAGATGCTCGCTCTCAAATCTTCAGTTTAGGGATCACTCACTTTTACTTTCCGTAGTAGTGCTAGCTGGGAGAGTGATCCTCGAAGTCACTAATACCTCAGACCTTATGATTGAGGTGATATAGCTAGTTGGACCGGGTTTTGTAACTGTTATTTGTTCTCCAGAAACAGTAGAAACTAGTGTCACGGGAGGTAAGGTGATGCTGTTTATCGAGGTAAAGGTTGTGGCTGCACGATTAGCATCTACCAGACACTTCATATATGATTGAACTTACTTGATACTGAAGTTTTTGTGGTGGCTGTGAGATAGATGTTAGCAATGATCCTGCAGAATCATAAAGCATTTCGAGATTTTCATCTAATCCTTATCTTGAACTGAAGATGAGATACTCGACTTGAAGTTGAAGGAAAAATTAGAAGAAGTGAATCGAAAGAGAAAAGAATTGGAAAGGTTCGGATAGCTTGGAACCACGAGCTTCTTTCGAAAGCTCAAAATTATCCCAAAAAGCCAGATCTTATGGAAGTGAACAATCCAGGCTATTCCTTCCACAATTCAACCAAATTATAACCCATTTTGAACAAAAGACCCCCACCGAATCTTATTGATCCTTTAACTTTAGGATGAAAATGAACATGTTCGGATGGTAGGATAGAAAAGGAGATAAAAGAGGATCAGGATGGGAATATTAGACCGTTAGATGATATGAAAAGAGCCACTAACTCGTAAAATCAGTGATAGTAAGACTGGCTGTAGTAGCTTCATCCAGTATTAGTTTACCGTTCTAGAAATCTAAATCGAATAAATCACTCACTCTCCAGGTCTGTGGTAGTAAAGCTGGCTATGGTGGCTGGATCGGGCATTAGTTTAGCACTCTGGAGTGTTTCATCAAAATTTCACTTACTCTCTGTAGCTGTTGTCGCTTTGTAAATGTCAGTAGAGTTTGAAGGGTTCTCAAAGGCTCTCACTTACTTCTAGATGTTGTTATTCGAGATATGACGGTCGTTGGGATATATACGCTAGTGGAAATTACCTCGATTATCGTGGTTGGGAGATATTCTGTCGTCGAGATGTAGTGGTTGCTAACGATAGTTTCATATACTGTGTATGGATACGAAGTCTGGTAGGTGATTGTGGAAAGGTGAACCTCTGTTAACGTGGTGCTGTAGGTGGAGTAGATATAGGATTCTGAAACGGAGACGGATAGACTCGTAGATACGCTAATTTGGGTAGCAGTAAAATTATAGTTTTTAGTCTAACGTGAGAATTAGCAAGGGTATATTTGGGGAGGCTTTCGGAACTTTCTTACTGTGGTGATAAGATCTGTCTCAGTATAGCTAGCTGTAGATATGTTTGTCTATTTGATTTAAATGTCAGCGATTGGAAGTTCCGAATCCAGCCTATAATACTTACGAGAGTGATAACATCAGTCAGGGTCGTAATCACAGAGATAGTACTGGGCACACTGAAAAAAGAGTGTTAGCAAAGTTCATCAATTTAGACTTTGTATCAAAGGAATTCTTGGGTAGAGTCGAGGATATGATTTCGCCAAGAAGATAAAAACTGAATATGTGAAGCTTGAATAACTCACGTTATCGTAAAGGAATCTGTCTGGGTAGTTTTTTCTGTTATCTACTGTATGTTAGCTCATATTCTCTTCGGCGATGATGATGGAATTGATGAAGGGGTCGTACAGTTTGGCTAGCAGTGTGAGAACCACCAACGGTTTGGGTTATCTGGAACGCGTTAGCAATCGAAATTCGTTGGCCAAATGCGATGTAATTTCCAACTCACAGTCTGATTTTGTGTAATTGTCTGCGTGACCTAGAAATCCGTCAATAAAGCGTTCGCCCAAGTCCTCAAACAAGCTGCACTTACAGTAGTTCCACCATATTGATATCCACCACTCGGGCTGGTGCTCGCGCTCACAGTGATTGTCTCGGTTATCTTTCTCAGTCAGTCGGATGCCCTTTTATATGCCCGGTAGTGCGCCCAACTCACAGTAGTACCAGACCCATAACCACCTCCACCTCCAGCGGTTGTGGTAATTGTAGTCTGCTTCTCAATCAGTTATGTATCCTAGGTTCGAGAGGGAGATCCCTCACGGTTTGATTTTGATAGGCTGTAGAAGTAGAGATAGAAACAAATGTGGTTGGGATGCTAAATTCAATTAGTAGATCTTCACTATGCTTCCCCCGGCACGAACTCACTCATTTGTAGTAGTTTCCCAACAAGTAGTCGTCGACACTGAAACAGAGGTTGATATGATCGTTTTGGTGGGACAGGATCCATATCCATATCCATCCCCGGGAGATGTGATAGTCACAGTTTTTGGCTCGCACGTTGAATGATGTCCTTGTCCATCTGGTGTTGTTGGATTCGAAATCGCCGCGGTTGTATTCAAGTATTGTCCTTGTACCACTCCAATAAACCCCGCTATTAGTACTCCGACTCGAGATTTAGAAACCATTGTAGAATATCGTCCTGTCGATTCAAAATAACGATAGTGTAGATGACAGCAACAACACTGAAATCTTCCGAACGAGCGAAAAAAAAGGGAAGACGACGGCTAGGTGCTTCCTTGATTCATGAACAATTGAATGCAGGTAGCTCTATAGTGGTTGATGTGCCTGACTATAATATACGACCCCAGGTGCGTCAGCTCTAAGAAGGCTGAAGGTTCGGAAATATCCAGTCGAGATAGCGTATAGCCAATCAAAAAGTCAATTAAGAAATTCCACAGCCATGTAATTGCCAAGGCAACTTTAGAAGAAATTCCGAAGCCGTGCAGTTAGACCACGAGGACTTGTTGAACAACAAGAGAGACAAGTAAAAACAAGGGAAAAAGTCCAGACGATAATGTGGCGAGAGAGAGACAAGTCTCGAATTGGAAAAGAGCTAGGGGACCCTAGATATTGCCAACTTACGAATGAATTCACCACGTTACCTTGATCATCCACTTTGGATGTCAAAGTCGTGATGTGGAAAAGATGCAGGGCCAAGGGCAGAGAGAATAAAACCGAAGGGTAGTGCATGGATTAGCACTAGGGTTGTAAGGTGTATTGAATCAATCGATCCTTCTTACTAAGACTAGAGCAGAGCAGACTTTTGGAAATACCGGTACGACACGGAAAAATTAAAATAAAAACGTGAATTCCAATAGGACAACACATTGACTGTACCTGTTGTAACTAGCATGCGATAGACGATCCTTGCATACTGTGATCCAACCAGAGATGATATGCATATTGGAATATTTGGATAGACGGAGAGAGGAGAGAGGTGAGAGGTGAGAATAATGATGATGATCCTGGATCACTACATGATGTTCGGAGAAGAAATGCACGCAGTTCTTGTCCTTTCCCTTCCGGTAAATCTTCCGTATAACGGATTGTTACCTTCTTTGCCGGAACGAGAAATAATAGAAGTCGATTGAAGAAGGCGTAAGAAAGAGAAACGGAATATTTGTTTGTGGTCTACCGACAGTTGTCAAATTGACAGGTGCCAAAGTGTGATAAGACACGGTGGTGGATGGAATCTGGCTTACTTGCTGATACAGGGTGATAGAAGTTGGGTATTGGATATCCAATGGGGAATAGTGAATGGTGAATGAAGGAATAGGAAGCTGGCCTTGATGCCGGTCGGTAACAAAAATCTCTGATATCGATATCGATGTCGTATCTGCACCCTTTCACTTTCCAATCGTCAACCTCCCACCTTCACCTTTACTCTTCACTCCTCACTCCTCACTCCTCACTATTTAATCTTCACTTTGGTTGCAATTGCATACATAACCTTACCAACGGATATGCATGTGAATTGCTTCTAGCCTTCCGGTGCTTCGATGCTTCTATGCATAGTAGTAGAAAGTGGCTACGGTTAGAGAAGGGTCGTATGAAGAGTGGAGCAGAGAATACCTACTAAGTGGTGGGGTGGTTGGTGGTTGGTGCGAAGATGGATGCGGTAAGTGGAGTCAATGTGATAGGATGGATGAATGCCATTGGATGGTGGCTTGGTGGGATCATACGATAAGCATTATCATTGGTTGGATGAGGAGGATGAGATATGACTAGGATTAATTCGGTAAGGTCGGTAAAAGCTAAGACCTCACCATTCGTTATCCATATCCTCGTATCTCACACACACCTCAACCTCACCTCACCTCCCCCTCTTACCTCCCCTTCTCAACCACCCTTTTGAAATAGGTATTATCATACCTTGCCAAGTACTTACTCATACACACACACAATTGCTTCATAAGATTTCCATTCAGTCTTCAGACTCTTCCAGAGCCTCATAATCTACTAGGATTTGATGTTGTGCTTGCCCAAAATTCAACTCGACCTACCAATGTTAGGCAAAAGAAGATGCGGAAGAAAGGGCAACAGAACTCGTAAGCAATGAGGGGAAATAAAAGAACATTGTTCCGTCCCCATCCTATTTTCGCATTCCTATCTTCCTACCTTCCCACCTAGATACCTGGAGGAGGGAATCTCCTGCCGAACCATGTGATGATGGCTAGCATGCTTTTCACAGCGTTACACCTAGGTAAAGAGCCGGTATCGTACTCGGCTTTTTACGAACTACATGATCCAGCAGCTACCCGCGAGACACAAGAATGTGGTTTCTTGACACCCAGTCAAGAAAAACTAACTATCTTTCATTTTCTGACATTTTGATTCATTCAAATCCTATTTGTGTTGAAACTGAAGACATGCATCTGATATTTATATCTTCTTGAAGCTACTTTTCGTTCTATACGATAGCTAGCGATCCGGATCAATTTGCGTTGGCAGCAGCTGAATCATTTTCTGCACACACAAGGCTGATCCTCTACAGGGAATAGTTAAGGCTAAGTCTTAATCTGAATCAATATTGCAATCCTTGTCAAATCGTCCGTTGAGTTACCCTGCTCTTGCAGCATGCAAGTGCAAGCATTCTCCTCACTAATCCTGACCTCCGTGAATCCACTCAAAGCGGGCACATTCATGAGAGGTCATTGAACCGATGGTAGGGGTCGCATTTTTTCCGTTCCGTATACATTGATACAGTCAGAAGAATTATCATCTCTGGACACCAAATTCTTGCTCGGCCTCATGAACATCAGGCATTAAAGTCGCAGCATCGCCGATTCTGGTGGCAGGAGTGGCAGCTATTTTTATCGACCTTCATTGGGCAATCTTGATCACGGATGTCCTAGAGGGAAAATAAAAGTTTCGTGCAGGTACATCCACGATACTTTGCGATGCGCCCCAGCCTCTTTATCTTTGATTATCAAGGCCACCACGAAAAGCAGGATTTCATCCCTTCATAATTGATAATTCATAATGATTCGATCGAGTTTCATCTGTTGGGTCGGGGCACTTGTCTCGGTTTGCTTGGGACAAGAAGCGGGATGGATTCCAGATCAGGTAAATACGACGATGTGTTACTGGACATCGCCCCGAGGTACGCATTCGCGAACATCAGGCTTGAAGCTTGAATCATTTTCATTGCAATAGCAACTGACAATACTAGCGGCGGTGGTGCGAGATACATTTTATCTCGATGGGGGAGAACTGTTTTGGGAGCCTGGCATGAATGATGGATCATATGACGATCCGAGACCTGATGGTAAGTGCCAATGCCAGAATGTTCAAACTCTACTTACTATCTCCAAGGAAATCCTCTTGGAATCGTATACCTCCTCAACTTTAACACTTCCTTTCATATATCCGACAATATCACTTCCATATTTACAAAGATATCGAAGGCCCCAAATGGAGGAACTGCCAGTAACCTGGGTCCGAACTATGTCGATGGAGCAATGCTTGGAAACGACTACGAATGGTATACATATGGCGGATTGTTGGTTCACACAGATGCCTTTTCCCCGCCGGACGAGGATTCCGCCATATCATATGAAGTTTACTCGGATGATACTCCTATGAAACAATTTTTCAAAGGCTTCGCACAAGTCAAACTACCAACAAACTTAACAAGATATGTTACTTATGGGGGAGCCGTCAGTATCCCATCCGAAAACTTGGGTTACTACTTTTCAGGTTACAGAGCCGCAAGTTTTGGGAATATTTATAATGACCCAGGCGTATTAAATGCAACCTACCTTGCGAACGTGACATCTCAAACTTTGATTAGTGTTGATATGACGAGTCAAACCACCCCGAAGTGGTCTAACGACTCCCTACCATCGACTGTACCAGGTCGAGCTAACCCTGAAATTGCCTGGGTTCCCGTTTCGGATCAAGGAATACTAGTCGCAGTTGGTGGAGCCATCGATCCTATCTATGCTAGTATCGACCAGGCAAACAATGCATCCATCAAAGCCCAAAGTGTAAGTTCCCCATCCTAAATTTCTATCTCATGATTTTTAATACTCAACAGAGTCGAATAAGTCTGGGTTTTATGAACACTGTCTCCGTTTACGACATCGCCAAGAAAGTTTGGTACGAACAAGAAACATCGGGAAATACTCCTGGGGCTTTGACCCAAGGATGTACCGTGGTCGCCTCAGCCGAAGATGGTTCAAGCCATAATATATATTGGTACGGAGGTTATGATGGCCTTAATGCTGCACAACCTTTCTCGGATGATGTGTATGTTCTTTCAATTCCTTCCTTCATATGGACGAAAGTTTATACTGGAAACGATACTCATGGCCGGGCTGGACATAAATGTGCCAAGCCATATCCAGATCAAATGGTCATTGTAGGTGGATACGCTTCTCTCAGTGGCAATATACCGCCCTGTCTCGAGGGAGGGATCATACAAATATTCAATCTCAGTGATCCTCAATGGCTCGAATCCTACGACCCTTTGATATGGAACAATTATACTGTACCCAACCAGGTTGTGTCTGTAATTGGAGGTTCTGGAACTGGTAGCGCTACACAAACCGAACCTTCCGGTGGTTTCACGAATTCAAGCATGACAACTCTCCTAGGAAGTGCCTACAATACGACTAAGATCATCAATTGGTATCCATATACTCCAGCTTCATCGACTCCTCCAAAAAATCGAACAACACTACTTCCTACAGCAGTTGCCGCTAAATCAGGAACTCCTGCATATCTAGGACCTGTTCTAGGTGTCGTTCTAGGTCTCTTCTTCATCACACTCGTCATCTTAGCCTTCATAGTTTATCGCCGTCGCAAAATTTTCAGTGGTACCAGAACAGATCCGCAAAGTGAAGCTGGGACATTGATTGAAAACCGTCGTCGAACTCTCCGCTGGCTTAATACTACTCGTAAAGAAGCAAAAGCCCCCACCGTCACAACAGATGCAACAGAAGTAAACGCAGTATCCTCAGAAGCTGATACTGATCATACGCGGGTATTTGCTGAAATGCCTGGTGATGCTCAGTTCCATGAAATGGATGGTATGTATTCTTTTCTTCACTTCTCTTTCTTTCTCGAGACCGCCCCGAAATTAATCAATCTTTTCATGTAGACACCTCACGACCATTCGAACTACACAACACAGGTTTCATACCTTTCACGCCCAAATCCAACGTTTACAATAATGTCTCTCTCAATCAATCACCCGTCGCCCATTCTCCCTCTGCAGGCTCCAACCGCTCGCACGCTAGCACAGTTTCGAGAAGCTCAGGTCCAAGACCATCACCTACTTCTCCCGCACGCGCAGATAGTTTGACGTTGAATGAAAATGCTGGGAGCGTGCCACGGGAGAGAATCCATAGCGACCTAAGTAGCGTGACGGAAAGTGATAGGAGTCACCTAAGACAGATTAGTGATGTAAGTGTCAGTGTAGATGGAGATTATGCGAATCTTCCAACGCCGGAAATCATAGTAGAGATGCCGGATGAGGATATGCATAGGTATGTGGCTGGGGCCTCAGGAGTCGTTAGTCCATTGACGCCGCCGCAGGGAGTGGGGGAGGGCAGAACTCATTATTTTGGTCCGGATAGTGTGGGTGCTGGGGATGGGCGTGAGGGTCAATATTCGCAGGGAAGTGCAATCCCAGTTCCGGCGCCAGCGCCTGATACGAATACGAGGAGAAGAAGTAATTTTGAGGAGAAGTTGGATGAGTAGTGTAGTGTGTTGTATAGGATGGACACTTTGTGTATAGGTAGGCGAAAATTGACCCGTGAGGTCACGGTCTTTGGTTTGAAGATTTGATGAGTTATGAACAAACTAGTTAATGGTAGAATGGCAATGAAATGGGATTGATGGTATAGTGAGCGCATTTGGAGGTCGTGATGGAGAGGGTATATATATATATATATTATTATTACATTATATTATATTATATTATACGATTATAATACATGACATCTATAGATTCATAGCAACGTCTCAATATTTAATTCTTAGTTTCGAGGATTTGGGTCTTTAGAATCTATTCCATTAATACCATCATCTCATCTCATCTCATCTCTCTATCTATACATCATGATATAAGTTTTGTTTATTTACTTCCATCCATAATCTCATCACTCATCTCATTTTTAATCCGAGTCATGGTGCCGACACCTCCGTATATTCTATTTGAGAGAAAGAGAGGGAATACGTTAGTAATGTTAATGGTAAGTGTATGTTATGTATACATATACATTACTTTTGATGACTCGAGTAAAAATTTTGTGGCTTCTTTGGATCTTGATAGGTGTGATGGGTGTGATGTGAAAAGTATAAAAATGGATGGGGTGGGATGAGATGGGATAAGATAAGATGGGATAAGATGGGATGAGAGGGGAAAAGGAAAACTCACAAAGCAGTATAAACTTGGGCTACACTGGCGCCTGCATTGAGGATCTCTAAGGCCTGTTTTCCATTCGTGATACCGCCGGTTGCGAAGATCACTTTTTGATTGTTGTTATTACTCTTCGAATCGGTGTTTGCGGTGAGAGATTTCACTTTTTCGGAAATGCTACTGTTGGATGCGAGACTTTCGTTATTTGTATTTGTGTCTGTGTTTGATTTCGCAGCGATGTTAGTGTTGGTATTTTGTAGTGGTGGTCCTCGATCAAGTAGAGCTCTGTATCTCTTTACCAAAGATAACGTTCGCTCGAACATTGGTGGACCGGAAAATCCCCCCTGTTCTTCGAGAATCCGACGTTCTCTGGGGGAGATGTTGATGTTGTCGGGGATGAGCTTGTCTCTTCGGTTGGTAGTGTTGCCTACGATTACACCGTCGACGCCACTGCGCCATATGGCTTCCACGATCCCCTCGAGTTGCGAGTCTTGATCTTCGTCGGGTGATACTTTGACCATGACCCTCGGCTTCGTTTTCCGGTCTACGGATTGCGCGGCTAAAACTACTCCTTCTAAGATGCGGGATAGTGGCTCGACCTTTTGTAATGTTCGCAAACCGGGTGTGTTGGGGCTACTGACGTTGACGACTAAGATATCGGCATATGGAGCCAATCTCTCAACACAGTAAACGTAGTCTCTCCTTACAGCCTCAATATCATCACCCTCCGTATCCTTATTCTTCGCAACCTGCACCGCCAACAACTTCCCCTCCACCAAACTCCCCGGAGGAACCCCAGCCTCCCCATCTAAAACCTTCCTCTCCGCATCCTCACCCACCCCCAATCCATTCCGATAAGCAAACAACCTTACCCGCTCCCTCAACCGCATCGCCATATCATCCGCCCCCTTCGAATTAAGCCCATACCTATTAATCAACGCCTTCTGACTCGGTATGCGAAAAACCCTCGGCTTTGGATTCCCCTCTTGCGCCCGCGGCGTGCACCCTCCAACCTCCACAACCGCAGGCCCCATCGCAAACAGCGCATCGGGTACCTGGGCCAATTTGTCCAGTCCCGCAGATGTGCCAATGGGGTTCTGTAACCGGTGTTCCCAGACGTCGATGCTTAAATCTGCTTTATCGGCGCCGGCACGGAAACTGCGATCGCGCGCGTGTAGGTTGAAGGAGTAGAGGGTTTGCAGCGCAGAAGTGCCGACGTGGTGCGCTTCTTCGGCGTCGGGGTAGATGGCGCGGAGAGCGGGCACGACGAGCCATCGGTGGATGCTGGCGCGGGTATCGGTTATGTAGAGGTAGCTGAAGCCGAGGGTGAGAGCGATCGAGGTTCCGAAGAGGATGTTCTTTGAGCGGGTGAGAAGAGTGGATGTGCCGGTCGCAGTTGTGGTGGATGCATATCGTTTGGTAGATAACCGGGATGGGGAAGAGGAGAGAATATGACGCGATGTACGCAGGGTACGTAAAAGAGGGTTCGACATATTGAATGTCTGGCCAATTGAGGAGGACCTGGATTGGGAATTGAGGATCTGACTACAAGGAAGCCAGTGTGCATGCATTGAATCAGAATACTGGAGAAATATATTCGGTTATTGATCCGGGTTCGGAGGAGGTTATTCCGCTCCGTTGGGTCTTGATTCCACCCCCACGATTTTGATACCTCATTTAGAGCTCACCTTAGACCTTATATTGCAATTGGCACGAGTGTTAGATTCTTATGGTTCTGCTAAAGGTTCATCTATATGCATGCTACAGGGTATTAGCAACCTATTGATAGTAATATTGCCAGTCATTATTGCTAGCGAGTAGGTTAATATCACTCACCGATCACCCCCTATAAATATCGGCCTCGAGGCTACGAGGTACTCAGCAACAGTGACTCGATTCATTGTGTATCTCGAGATTAAAGATCGTGATATGCATCATCTGGGGGACCCCAAAGGACAGAAGGGAGGTGTTTCTCCGCAGGATTTTCAATACTCACTTCACATATCAATTACCTGCGATTACTCATTTCCATCTTCGATAGTCAAGAGTCTTGTTGGACATCTTGGAACTCCATGATGTGATAAAGTTAAAGGTTTGATCATTGAAGGAGTTTGATTGACTAGGTTTTTGTGTGACTACAAGTTGCAAGGAGACGAAGAGAGCAAAACTTAATGGGTTTGGGTTTTATCGTACCCATGGATTCGGCTGGAAGAGAAGATGTCACATTAGGAGTTTCCTTGAACGATCTAATTCTGCAATCCAATCCCCTCGGCAAATTCGGAAGAAGAAAGGGAGGGGCAGAAATATGTTTAACAAAAGTGGTGTTTCGTTTGGTCGAATATATTAGTTTTTAGAAGACCGATTCGAGTTGCTCTCTTACTGTCCTTCCCACCAATCGCGTCTTTATTATTATTCACAACCATCGCCATCTGCTTTCGAAGTCCTCTCAAACACTACCTCCTTCATTCAAAGCTCCCTTCCTTCCTAGCTCTCTGTTGCACTTCTATCCTCTTTTCCAACATTCCCAACATCTCCATTCCCTTTTACATTCGTTTCTCGACGCCATAGTTCAATTTGAAGCGATTCATGTTCTGAGTCCTAAATTATTTGCACTGACCAATGTTTATGCTATAATCACTAGAAATAGATTATTACGAAACGTAACGCAAGTTATATTATTACGTTTTATCTAATTATGTTTTTCCCAACCCTGATACTAATATTATTAATAGTATATCTAAAACCAAGCCTTAATTATATTATATATCAAAAATCAACCAGAGCTTCTCCAAGCCAACTCCATAACCTCTTATCCGCCACAAACCCCTTATTGAATTCCGACATCAGGGTAAGTTTCCTCGCAACGGCTTCCCTCCCCGTTAACCTCAACGCGGGAAAATAATCACGTTCATCTCTCGCAACCTTATCCACAGGCCGATCGTCCATCACCAGAGTCTTAGCCAAATCTCTGAATTCCTCTTTCCCCCGCGTGTCTCGGAATAAAGTGGGGATATCGATTAGGTCTTTTGGTTTGTTTGAGTAGACGGATGTGTATAATTTTGAGAAGTAATGAAAGTCTTGAAGTTCATCCAAATTAACCAGACGCGAGAAATACCATGAGCGCTGTGCATGAATCCATGATTTCTCTTCGACTTTGTGATTAAAAATAGAATCAAAACCACTTCGAAAAAATGGGACTAAAGAGTCATCGATATCGTCTCTCGGGTGGGGCAGACTGGGTGTCGCTAGCAGTGTTGCAATTGGGACGGTAGAGGCAAACCCCCAATCGATCACGCAGCTGATGTTGAACTCTTCATCTACAAAGATGTTGCTTGCGCTGAGATCTGGGTGATGGAGTGGATACTGGTATTCATGGGCTAGATCAGGTGGCACGCATGATTCAGACACAGGTATGTCGATTGAAGGAATCAGAAGACGCAGATAATGCTCAGCAATACAATAATCCAATCGATTATTATTATGATCGATTTTTCCATTCACAGTGACATAATCGTTCCACATATCAACTGCAGATACATATTCCGCCCACGTATCAAATTCTGCGGCTTTGGGAAGAGGCGCGAAGAATACGTGTGGTGAAAGAGGTAGCTCCTGAACGTGCCCAAGCAATGCTGAGAGCTCGGAGTTGTGAAAGTCCTGCGTACATGAGAAAGGACCTCGTGGAATCTCGTCCAGGCTATCTCGCATGTACCATGTTAGAGATGGGGAGAGGCATTTTCCGATGTGATAGCTGGAGCTTTTGTTTTTGTCTTCGGTGTATAGCGAGCAGATCTTGGGAAATGTCATTTTAGATAGTTGGGCGCGTAGTGCCCCTAGCTGCGTCATTATTTTCTCCTTGTGTTCTCTTTGGAGATTAGAGGGAGGTTGTTTGCGGTGCGAGGCGCGGTTTGGTTGTGGATTTGTACGAATATTCCATGTAAACTTACTCAATGCAATGCCAGGCGCTTTACTCATGAGAATATATGGAATACCGATTGCATTTGAGGTTGTGGAGCTTTAGTCCATTAATACACAGTATAGATAAGTCGATAAATAGAGTTAGGTTAATAAACACCTACCTATAATCAAATATATCCGGAACCGGAATCGAACTATTCAGCTTAACATAACGCATAGTAGCAACCTCACTATCGAGTAATTCCAATACAGTTTCATTGGATATGAATTCATTCATTAGAGGCGAGCGAAACATCCATTCGACGTCGTCTACAAAAGTAATTGTGATGGCCCAGTTTAAACCTCCGCATAATGGCTGCTTGGATAAATCGCATAAGCATGGTATGTAAACGTTTCGAATCTGTTGAGCTAGATGGAGTAGTGCTGGGAGATTGAAATCTGTGTAGAAGAAGGGGCCTCGGGTTCGAACCATGTTGTTGATGTTGATTTGTGGTTGCCAGTGAGTAGAAGATGATGATATTTTGTGGGTTGGAGGATTAAGTTCTAAGCATACTACTTAGAAATGCTTTGTGATATTTGTTAATTCTTTACACTTCTCGACAAACGAATAGTTTTGAGGTTTTATAAAAAAAGTCATTTAGTTAAGGAGTAGAGGAGCCTAGAGAAAAGGAACCATGCTTAGTCAGCCGATTCGCTATATTGTACTCTCTTGAATATACTAATCACAGGATTAGCTTTATTAATACAACCCGATGATTAAAGATTATCTAATACTCAGCTTTAATATAACTATTGAGTTATTATATACCTAGTATTATAATAGCATTTAGGCAAAACATACTAGATTACCGCATCGCGAAAGCAGCTGACTTCGTGACCTATAATTGGCAAGGATATTCGTTGCAAATGATTGAATGACTGCATATGCGCCTTTCCCCGCGCGACTACTCCACGCCTTGCGTTTGACAACGTTACTTCCTGATAGGAGTTGACTAATGCAAGATAAGTGAATTAAAGCATGTGAGGTATTCGCTGTGGGGGTATAAGTAATATTGATTTCCTTATAGATTACCTAGTAGTTGATCAATCAATCAATTTTACATTTTTCTCGAGTCTTGATCTATTCTCACAAACACAAACCTCATCTCTAGCTATACGAATATTCATTCAAACAACTCTTTCAAAATGACCTCAACAAACACCACTCCCACAACCTCCGCTTCCATCCCCATCCCCACCCGCAAACCATTCCATGGATCTTGTCACTGCGGATTAATCCGCTTCGTGATCTTCATGACGCTCCCACCGCCCCTCATCCACGCAAGCCCCACCTCCACCAGCACCATCCGTCTCCGCAAATGCAACTGCACCACCTGTCACAAGATGGGACTTTTCCACATCCGACTCCCCGATGCCCCCAATGATTTCATGCTTTTGAATCCCACTGGTATGCCGCATGAAAAAGGCGGATGGGAAGATCAGGGTATGAAAAGTTATCGGTGTTTTGATCAGGTGTCTGATTGGTGGTTTTGTGGGACGTGTGGTGTGAGGCCTTTTGTTACGGGGTTGGATTTGAAGGGGGGGGAGATGAGGAAGGTGGATTTGAGGGGGGTAGGGTTGGTGGAGGTTGGTGGGGAGGAGGTTGGGGTGGGGGAGAAGGAGGTTTGGATGTGTTCGAGGGAGGGGAAAGGGGAGGATGGGAAGATGGTGGAGTGGGTGGAGGGGGAGACGGGCTATTTGAGTGTTAATGCTACGGCGTTGGAGGCGGGTCAGGATGGGTGTGATTTGAGGGAATGGCATGAGAAGGGATGGATTAGTTATTTGGATTGTTTGGATCGGAAGGAGGAGAATAGATTGGGTAGGCCATGGAGAGGTGGAATGTATTAAGGTTAAGAATGGGTTGGTTGGTCTAGTCCATATATTCAGAAGAGGTGGTAGTTAAGATGAAAGAGGTCTCTCGTCGATTTTCCAGTGATGTAATGTTTCATGGCTTATAATTTACGACTGCTGAACGGAGGGGGATATAATCTAGCTAAATACAAAAAAATCAAAATCACAATTTACTAGGCACCCAATTCGGTTTCCTCTTCTCCACAAAACTCCTCACTCCCTCCTTCATATTGGGTCCCTTATCCATCCTACTATACCAATTTTGCTCTATCAATCTTGTCCCCTCCTCCGCACCAACTCCTTCCCATCCCATCTTGATTCCCTCTCTACTCACAATCACACTATCCGGACTATTCGCCGCTATCAATTCCGCCATTTTAATCGCTTCCTCTACACATTTCCCCGTCCCCACAACCCTATTAACCAACCCCCATTCCATCGCCTCTTCAGCTCCCAGCGTCCTCCCAGTCAACGCCATCTCCATCGCTCTTTGTTTCCCCACCGTCCTCACCAACCTAGTTAACGCTCCAGCAAGAGCCACCACCCCAATCTTCACCTCCGGCAGCGCAAACACAGCATGTGATTCTGCAATCACCATATCGGCATTTATAATCATCTCGCACCCGCCCCCAAAACAAATCCCATTCACTGCACATATTATAGGTTTCTTTCCGCCTCGACGACTCAACCCTCCAAAACCAGACGTGGGTAACGAACGAGCTTGACTCGAGGCAGAAGTAGATGACGAATTACTCGAATCCCATTCTTTCAGATCAGCGCCTGCACAGAAACTGCGACCCACGCCAGTGAGGATGGCACACCGGAGGCCCGGCTCAGCGTCGAACCATCGGAAAATGCGATCGAGTTCGTTGTGGGTGAAGGTATCGAGGCAGTTGAGAGATGAGGGTCGGTTTATGGTGATGAGGAGGGTGGAGGAGGTTGGGAAGGAGAGGAGTGTGTTTTTGAGGGGTGTGCCGGTGGACATATTGTGGAATGTGGAATGGCGGGGTATCGTTGATGGAATGTGCAAATACAATATGAAGATAAGATAGATCAAGAAAGAAGGAAAAAGAAAAATTGTGCAATGATATTATTGTACAAAGTTCATTGATATTGTGCTTGCTGAAGATGCGTTGTCAATGAAGGGACCCTCACTTATATTGGGTGGAGAAGATGCCGAGGTTCTCGATAAAGCTATCAAAAGTCTGGGGTATTAACCGGTTACCGGTTACTTGTATTGCTAGCGATAGTAAATACTCTATCCATCCATCTCTTACAGTACTGATGTTGTACTTATATGATATAAGCTAATTCTTGAACAGAGTTCAAGACATAAAATGATATACCGGTTACAATAAATATACTCAAGTTGATTAATAGATAGCTTTAGACTTTGTTAGATTAAGGTCACGTGTATGATGCGGAGGGTTCCGTTAGAAGAGCTAGGCCTCTTCAACTCCAACAATCAAAACTAATCAGTAAAACCACTGAGATTTTCTTCTATCATTTAATGGTCTACAGATATGCTCTGCACAACAGCTGGTTTAACATATGCCATGTACCTCCTGGTAAGGTTGACACAAAGGTTTGAATGTATCGGGAACCGTGATACTGTTCTCGACCATATCGAACAGTTTACCTTGGAATTTAAAGTAGGCATGGAGTGAAAGATGCTTTCTGGACTCGGTAACTCAGCCGGAGTATATTCAGTGAGGAATTATGTCTCGAACGGAGAAACATTGGATCGTGGACCTATAGTTGAGAAGTGGATGTCCAATTCAGTATTTTGAGCTGCCTATTACAGAAACAGTCTCTGCTTTTGGAGCTCTTGTCTTTTGGAAGCGTGGAGCTTTGCTATGTATCCCTGAAGAAGTAAGTAATTAAGTAGGAGAAAATGACTTCAAACTATAGAATTAGTATGGCAAAATGAAGGATCATGAGAATATATGATTGTCGTATTTTTTAATATCAATTCAAAAATCAAAGCTCACCGGGAGCGGGGCATTTTAGCGCCTTGGCATTTCCAATATTTACTCTTTACAGTACATCCCGAGCATCTTTTCTTTTCGAAAAATATATCAAGATCATTTCAAGTTCGAAACCCTCAATTCGATAATAGGAATACCATCACACTACTAACTACAAATCTCACAAGTAAAACAAGTAAGCCGAGTCAATTATCTCTCCGCCAGCTAAGATGTGGCGTTTCTCGTATCCCGGTAGTCCAGACGCGACGCAAACACTTGGCTGATATATGAAATTTCAGATTAGTTTATGAAAAGAACCGATAGGTGAAAATTATACTCGAGTATATATCATTATGTTTTAGAACAAGGTTCTTGATGTCGATTTGCCAGATCTCCCAATCTACCCCAGCGTCCCAGTCCCAGTCCCAGTCCATCCCAATATTGTCGTCCGTCCAAACAATTTTCCTCTATACACATACTTCCCAATACCCTCCCTCCCTGTCCACCCCAAAACTCCCGAGTTCCCAAAATCCCTATATAATCCAACATCCCCAACGCAGCTCCCTTCCCTTCCCATGCAGAAATCCAAATCTCCAAAACGCCAAACCTCAAACCCCAATCTACACCCTCCAATCTCACCTAATATAAGCCGGAGGTAAAACCGAAGGGGCACCAGCATTCCCCGCATCACCCGTACCCACGGTATCCGTCTGACTTCTCGATACATTCTCGCCCTGAGTAACAAGCCAATCCCACTCAGTTGCCCCCTCATATGAAGGCGCATGCTCATATTCTGGCGGCGAGGTCATGAAACCCGGGGTCAACGGCTCCGATCGACGAGTTGGTCGACGAGTTGGTTGATAATTAGCGGTGTTCTGGAACATGGGCAGCGTCGAAACTTGTCGACGTAAATCTTCAGTGCTTCTTGTACTTGCTCTTGTACTTGTTGCTGCTGTTGTTGTTGTTGTTGTTGTTGTTGTTGTTGTTGTTGTGGGTATTTCTGGCACGTCTCCAAGAGTAGAGTTCTGCTGGAAGATAGGAAAAGAAGCAACCTGTCTAACCTCCTGATCCAATCTTGACATTGAGGCCGCTGGTACAAGAGATGATTGGCGCCTGGGTAGAGAGTTCTTAAAAATTGGAAAAATCGCAACCACATCATGTAATTCCTCATCAGTAATTGACGGCAATTGTCCGTGTGACTCACCGGGGCGCTCTGAGTAAATCGAATCTAGTTCTTGTATGGGATGCGAAACGACACGAGTACCGTTCTCGGTTGACACATTAGATTCTTTGAATCTGAGAGGTCGCACCCCGTTGACAGTGTTGGTCGAGAATCCAGTTCTCGCTTGTTCCGGTCTGGTGATTGAAAATCCTGGGTTTCGTTGTGTTGGTGCGCTGCTGGGACGACAAGTTCCAGCTCTTACAGTCCTTGGCTCGATCGTAGCACCCAGCGCTGCCCTTGCTGCACCCATCTCGCCTGTCGGTCGAGCCACTCCAAGTGGAGTTGGAGGAAGAGGAGGAATCGTAGCACCTAATGCTGCTCTTACTGCACCCATCCCGCCCGTCGGTCGAGCATGTCTTGATTGATTCATAAAATATGGATGACGACTACTACGAGAATCATTTGTTCGTGATCGTGATAGTGATCGTCCAGAAGAGTTTGTTCCCCACCCTCTTTCGTTGAGTTCCTGACGATTGCCTAAACAAAGGGGAATGAAGACAAACATGAATAATACCAGAGGTGTTATGAGTATTAACAACAATATCTTTAAGTCACCTGTCTTATTATCTGAAGTGATTTTCTCGGCGCGTGTCTGAAGTTTAGTTTCTGAGAATTGTTTCGTTGTTTGTGCGAATATAGCTGTCATCATTATCAGAGCTTCATTTCCCACATGTTTGATAGCGTCATCGATTGAAAGACTAGCGCTTTCTGACGATGGGATATACATTTTGATCAAAGATGTAATGAGAATGTTGTTCGAAGTTATGATCCAAGAAGTATGTTTGAGTTTGTCAATTGAAGAGTTTCCATTCAAACCAGGAATATTATTCTCAATTGTTTTGGATTTATGAGTGAAGCATTTTGTCCAGTGGTCTAGAAAGGTGTAAGGGACGGGAATCGAGGCTTTATTTATACACTTCATCTTACCGATTGACCATGCCATGGTTTATTATCGAAACTTCCAAGGTACCTTTGATCTTCTTTACGGAGTCATGGGATCACAGTCCAACTTGGCGTTCCCCAGTACTAACTCTTTGCCGATACCAAAAGGAGTAAGGCACGAAGCTTATATGTTGTTCGGTTGCTTTAGATACAGAGCTAACACCCCCTCGTTGTCACTAGTCAGATACTAGTTTGTGGGCAATTCCCAAGGTTTCCAACAAGGTTAGGCTTGCATATGTGGCGACTATTTCAATACAGTTTCTCAAGTTCATTTTCTCATAGATGCTTAGGTGCAATGAAGACGGCAAGGAAACTTGTCCTTGGAGAATATTTCCTTGACCATTCTGTAGATCCGGGGAACGATAAGTGTACCACTTAAAGAAGGCTGATTTCCTGGAGAACGCTGTCGGTTCAAAAGCATGAGAGGGCTAGTATGGCTAGTATAGCTAGTCCATTCTAAAAGTGGAGTCACTAGAGTCTAGACTTGTGCACATGACGTGCACATGACTTCCCCAATGACTGTAAAACCGAAAAACTCCGCCGGTAGCGGAGAGAACTTGATCGGCACTGATGACTGGGTGATGAGGGTATAACTCAACTATGCTGAACTCGAGTACCTACTACCTAGTATACATCATATCAATTGAAGCACAGAGAACAAGAATAACAATATCAAACAAGCTACAACAAAGTTTCTCTTCTCCTATCGCAATCTCCGAACAACCTCCATCATATTGTGACAGATCTCAATATTATTCAATGACGTCTTCTTTCCTTCCCCGCATTTCATCCACTCCGAGCTAAGCTAGCTAGCGATCACTGAGCTAACTACCGGAGAGATGTGGGGATCTGAAGATCTAATTGGTCTTCTAGTGACTACCGGCATTGCCGGTTCTTGGTAGATGCTTGGTAGATGCCGGTAAGCTGCAAGTCATGTGTTTTTACTCCTGTTGCTTTTTGTTTGAGAAATCTTGATATATTGTGCAGAATGTAGAGTTTGGAACTCTTGGGAGAAAACTGTATTTAACTGGCAAGCTCATACGTTTCAATTGAGACTATTCTGATTTCCAATCCGTTCATAATTCACAATTAATCCGAGGTTCAATCGGTATCTCCTTCGATTTTACTACTCGAGTAGTATTTATAAATCCCGGCAACCCCCAAGCAATCTGCATTGCGGGGTAATGATTAAAGGTCCCCTAATCCCAGCTTCCCATCCCAAAACACACAAGTTCAAGTCCTAGAGGACCAGAGGAACCATACCGGTACTTCGCAAAAAAGGAAATAATATAGATCATCCTGAGATGATGGTTTAGTCCCTGAATCCCGAGAAAGTACTATGAATCACAAGTTTATCCCACCTTATAAATGCTGGCCTGACACTAGCAAGGCCTTCAACTACTCATGCTGTCAGAAATTCCGCAATTCGGGAACTAAGAAAACCAGGTTAGTATATAGTATATGCTTGTTTACCCGAGTTGCAGACTTTCTGGTAGCATAAGTATCGAGATTGATATTTATGTTATTAGAAAGTCCGCAATTCGGGTAAGCTAGTATGTATTTTATGATAGTAAACTACAAGGGAATAGCCTAGTTTCTTTAGTTCCCCAGTTGCGGACTTTCTAATGATATGAGTATCTCATGATCAAAGCTAGAATGTCACTACAGTATTGGTATATACTTACTACTACCATAAAAATGCCCATTACACCACTACCCGGTACCATTTTTATCTTCTATACCATTCAATTCCCCATTCATCTATTCATGTTGGAATATTGATGAGTCAGCATATAACTTTAGGTGGACCATATACAATCTCTTCATATGGCCTAATCTACACCTATCTACACACACATATTCCAACCTAAATATACATATACCTACCTATATATACCTTTGATGAGATATCTACTGCATACTTTATACCATAACCTCAACACTTCAGCGCAGAGACCGGCGGACAAAAGCCTGACCGATTCGGTTAATTTGTAACGGAATGGGAAATTATACTACTCTCCCTTGTCTACTCCTACAGTAGACATATCTACTTTGTTCTACTTAATTAGACAACAACCCCAATGTTCTATAGTGATATTATATGAGATTAGGTATATCAAACTTGTCAGGATTTACCCTGAAAGAGAAATTTACAGATATGCAACATTACCTGGACTTTCGACTGGTTCCGTTCTAGTTCGGATGTACTCGAGTATCGAATGGCTCAGTCACTCACTCGATAGCTTCACATCTTAGATTTCCACAGTTGAAGTTTACCTGATACAGGTAGCGTATCTATTATACTGTAATATACTATCCTATACCGCAACGTACTACACTCGTCAGGATTCTCGTTGTAAAACAGATATACAGATATGCAACAGCACATTCATAGTCGTTCAATTTCGATACCAATATCCCTTCGAGCTCCTCGTGCATGTTCCTTTAAGGAGATCAAGGATATCTTATTCTCTATTATCCTAGGAATAGAAGTAGAAGTCAAAGAAACAAATCAACGAACCTTTCATAGTACACATCACGCGCATTTCACCTGCTCTCCAGACTCCATCTCCATTTCTATTTCTGTTTATATTTCTATTTCTATTTCTATTTCTATTTCTATTTCTATTTCTGCTCTTCAGACTTCAATTCGAAGCTAGAGCACTGGGATACATTATACGCTGCTAAGAATTGGTAGGGGAATTGAATTGAGTGCCGGTATACTGTTATAACTTATTGGGGTTTATATATGTTTTGAATCTGATCGATATTGAGAGATCTATGATATCAAGGTGAAGCATTCAGTATTTATGTATCAATTTACCCGAGTATTCATCAAGCTATTCGTACATACTTCCTTCGACCTCTCACATCTATTCACATCATAAACCCCCAACACTTATCTGAAATCTACTTGACATACTCGTATATATATTCTGGGCTATATCACATATACCCATCCAACTGTTGTATTTCTTTTCCATTTCCATTTCCATTTCCATTTCCATTTCCACATATTCCCATCCCCCCATGTCCCATCCCTACCAACCCAAACGCAAACCCAAACCCAGGAATCTCCGAATCCCCTACCCAGTACCATTTCCCATATACCATGTACCATTACTCACCCATGAGATTCATGCCACCTATAGCTAGCTACCTAGTTGTTCCACCTATTCCCACCTTCAAATTTTCACCTCCCGAGTCGGAGTTCCGACCAACAACCAACCAAGCAGTTACTCAATAACCCCTTCCTCCTCTCTCCTCTTTTTATCCTCCGAACTCATCATCCTCATCCTCACCACCACATCACTTCAAGCTCCACTCATACTCCATTCCAAGTCTCCCACCCGCGTACATTCCATTCCAAGTATGAATATAATAAATATCCAATAGCAAATCCTTCTCACTGCTTGCTTTTCCTATTACTTACTACTCACCACTTACCACTTACTCACTAGATAAACCATTCCCATTCTCGAAATCCTCTGATCCTCTCTCTCCCCGAAATCCCTGACACCCGCGAATCCTGAACTCCTTCATATAATAATGCATAATACTCCTTCTCGAAGAGATCCGCTGTGTATTTAGTTGATGCATTTAAACTCTATATTGAAGGAGATGGGTGTATATACAAATATACTAATCTACTACAGTAGACTCTAGACAGATTAGTAGATAGATAGACATCTAATACCAAATATCAAATACAACATAATTAACTCGACTCATCTCGTCGAATACTTAAATCCTCAAATCCTCAAGTAACACTACTTACTGACACTACTGTACCGGTAGGGGACTATTTTATATATCCATCATATATATCAACACCCTTCCCACCTTGCACCTCCTTCATCTCCCCATTATACTGCCCTCATACCCTCTATCTTCATACAAAATCCCAAATCTCAGAATCTCAACCATCAACCATCAACTATCAACTCCCTCCCCCTCATCCTATACCTCCAATATCACCCAAAACAACACAACCCAGACTTCCCAAAACCCTAACGACTCTAAGCCCGAAAACCCCAAAACTGCAAAAGCCCACACATCAATCTCGCGCTGGCAATATACATCAGATATACTTCACACTAGCATCCATCCTAAAAACATCTCTATCACAGTACCAAAACCAACGCCAAAGCCAAAGCCAAGCGGCTAAAATAAACATCGCTACCTCCTACCTGCCTACCTACTCTACCTACCTCCTACCCACCCATCCACCACCCAACACATCCTCTCCTCTCCTCTCAAACTCACTCAATCCTATTTCAGCCCCAGCCCACAAACAACTCACTCACCCACTCAACCACCCACACACAAACCATACATATCACCAGACATATATATCACCACAACACGCACACACACTCTCTCCCCCTCTCTCTCTCTCCACACACTCCCACTCCCATACTTCAAAAATAAAAATATCAAAAACCCAAAAAATATAACATCAAATATCAAAACTCAAACATCAAATATCAAATATCATATCAAATACCCATCTACCTACTCGAGTATCTAGGTACCTCCCTCCCTATCTCCCTCCAGTATCTTTCCCATCCATCTTTCCCATCCATCCATCCATCCATCCATCTCTCCCATCCATCCATCCATCCATCCCCTCTCTCCCCCCCTCCCCCCAAACTGAACTAACTAAGAAAAACCACCAAGTAATCTTACGTACGCCCAAAACCACGCCAATCATAATCATACAAGTAAGTAATACGAGACCAGACCAGACAAGCTTACACTACACGTCTCTCTCTCTTGAATTGGAAGAAAAATCATCCATTTTCGGATAGACTTACTCCAATTATTCATGTGCAGTACAGTCATGGAGGAAACCGAAAAACGAAAAGTCCATTTAGACGAAAAATATTGACTCTTTCCACCCCACCCTATCTCAAAAACAAATCACCTCACCACTCAACCTCAACCTCACTCTTAGTTGACGCAAACGAATATTCAGTCTCCTACAAATCACCAAAAGCAAAGCAGTCAGAATGAAATTCTCCAAACGCAGTTTCTCGATTCCCATTGTCTCATCGTATGATCTTAATATCAATTCTGAGTAATGATTTTGTATCAATTTTTGTGGCGATTAAGCACTTCCGCCATCACGACTCTTTCGGTAGCTGGCCTACATAGAAAAAAGCTTCATCAGCTAACTGAACTGTGGTATTCTAACGATTTTGAACTGCAACGCGCTTCTAGGAGTAAAAAGGGAAAAAATAACATCATCAGGCGGAAAATGCCTCGGAGCGTCTCACTTCTTGCTCAACTTGAAGACCGTCAACGACGGGGGCAAGTTCACTAAGTATTTCATATGCCTTCTTGTGGAATTCGAGCTGGGCGGCGATAAGATCGGCAAGGTTTCGGAGGGGTTCGGGGGTATCGAGGACCTGGGTTTGCGCATTAGTTTCATGTCTCATAATATGCATAAAAGAAGATGAGACGTACATTCTTCATAACACCAACAGCTTCTTCAGTTTGTCCAACAAACTCATCCTCTGCCTGCTCAATCTCTACTCTAGCTTCTTCACTCGCAACCTCATCCTCTTGGCCATCATGTTGAGGAGCTGCTTGTCCTGGTAAATGCCAGCCTGGGTTCTTAGCCCTTGCCTTTGCAGCATCAAGCAATAACCTCGAGTTCTCCACACTCTTCCTGGCACGCGTCGCAAACATCAAATTAGTATTCAGTGTCGTAGACCAACCTGCGAGAAAACGGCTTTGAATTTGACTATCTTGTGCGAGTCTTGCTTCTCCAACACGTTCTTCGGCAAGCGCATACTTCTCAAGAGCGGTAGCCAAAGGATCTTCATTTCCAGAGGCATTTTGTTGTTGAAGGATTTGGCTAGATGCTAAAGAGGCGCGAGCGATGGCATGATTGAAGGTTTTCGGTTGGGGTTTGGCGGAGGGAGGAGCAGTAAGGGCAGCTTGGGCTTCGGCGGAGGAGGTAGCAGAGGAGAGGAGTTGGACTTTCTCGGAGACGGTGCGGCCGAGATCGTTGAACTATTGGTAGAAGGCACATTAGCAAGCTTATCATACCTAGTAGAGAAGAGAAGACATACTGATTCCGACAAATTTTGTGGATAATCGTACCCTTCGTGGGAGTAATTTGAGGTGACAGATAGCATCTTCTGGTGAACTTTCTTCAATGCATCGACCCTTTTCTCCAACTCAATGTAATCGGGAGGAAGTTGAGTCTACCACCAAACATTATTTTTGTTTCTCTTTGTGTAGCGCAACATATCAAATCACCTTATCCTCGGACTGTCCAAGTCTCTCCTTGACATATTGTTGCGTTCGAGCCGCGAAAGGTGTGAACGAGGCACTATTGATCGGGCCATTAGCTTACGAGCAGATGATATCCCTGGGGGTGGGCAGGGGGGGAGGAGGAGGGGCTTTGAATCTGTTCTTACGAGACGTTCTTGCCAAAGGCTTGGAATTTGGAGAAATCCATGTTCATCTAGTGTATGCGTATTGCGTCCAGATATTCGGGTTTGTGATTATGTATCCCAGGTAAGCTTTGTTGATTGAGGTGCGATGAAGGTTGAGGTTGCTTGTCTTGTCTTGTTCACATGGAATTGACAGCTTGGTTCGCCTAAAATAATCTTCACGTGAGAAGTCGCTGATAACAAAGTTGTATGTTATCAGTTCACCAGGTAGTAGCTTTAAATAAGATGTAGTTATGATTATGATTATGATTATGCTTATTCATTATAATGAAGATGTCTTTGTGTGTTATCTAGATGTCTATCTCTACATCATAAATCACATTGCTTAGTCTTTGAGGGAAGTTCTTAAATTTTAGCATGGGAAATCACATTGCTTGGTCTTTGGGGGGAAGTTCTTAATTGTGGCATCAATTAATTCTACAGACAAATATCTTTTCGATCAAATGGTAATATCCAACCAAGGGTATCTTCAACTGCAACTATAATATTCAAAACCAACCTCCCAAGTGTTGCGCGATCTCGGATAGATCACTATGTGTCATCGGACGATATATCGCTCCTCGCTGTGACAGAATCTTTGAAGTCTTCTCCTCAGTTAACTTTCCTCAGTTAACTCTCTTTTTCGTGCCGTGGGCCTCGAGAGTGTCGCAGAGATCTAACTTCGAATCAACAATCATTCCGGTGGTTAAATATGCTGGATGATCTCTGAAGGCTACTTGCAAAGAATATCAATCACATTTTCCAAGAGATGTCATGACATTATGCCCAAGTGATATTAACCACGTAGTGTTACACACCTCCATGTCCAACAATACTCCCCGATCTTGCATCGGACAATGCAATGTTTCAAATATTCTGCCGAGTATGATGACCTCTATAAGTAGATGATTCAATATGATCTTGGTGAGATACGAGCCCTATTGGGTACTGAGTATAGCAGGCTTCGAATCAAATATGAAGGTACCACGGTCGGGGCTATAGGGCTCAGTCTTGAATTCCCTTTTTATCTGCCCATGACGGCTCAATCACCTTGCAAACAGCTTCATAATCTTTGAAAGTCTGGTGATCCATATTCTCTTCCGGTGTTGTGAAAAACATTGTCCAATTCGTGTCAGAAAGCTTCAGGGTGGCCCTACTGCGCTCAAAATACCACTTGTTCACAGGGTTATCCTATAGTCGAATCAGTATGATGTCAAAAATCATGGTTGGATGTTCTTTCTTACCTTGCGGCTTCTCCAGCATACACCACCGGGGAAACAATCTCTAATCATAGACTTGAAGACAATGTCTGCAACGCCGCCGGATCCTTGGCTTTTCTTCAAGACAGCAAACTTATCAAGGTAAGGTACCATCCGCTTTCGGCTTTCTTCACTTCCATCGTCGGGAACGCCAGGTGGAAGTTCCCATGTCAGCAACGCCCCTCCCTCATATTCGCCAGCAATAATAACTCCAGCTACACGACTGTTGACACGTCTTAGATAATCCTGAACATCAAGTTCCTTATTAAAAGAGTCCTCAATCAAATGGACCAGACGGGGAAGATCTATTTGCGGATCGGTTAAGCTTATCTGCGGGATACCAGCCAGGGGTGGTTGCCAAGGGGTAGTCCTTGGATCTGGAAATATGGTCACTGGCATCCCATGCTTAGCAAAAGTGGTTGGGACCAATTTAGTGGATGGTGAGATTGTTTCGCTTATATCCAACGGTCCTAGTCTTCCAACGGGAAGAGATGAAGAAAATGCTGGTTTGTCTGTAAGTAGGTTATGAATTAGAGGATTTCGTTGTCGTCGTGTGCCAACTCTGGCAGCCTTGAATTCGGGTTGCTTTCCAGAATTCGCCGCTTCGTCTGGCGTGGTAATTAAAGCAGAAGAACTTGGAGGTAGTATGGCTAGAGCACTTCGAATTAATTCCAAGTTGTCCAAGTGAAATCTGATTCTTGAATCTTGCTTTCCAAGTGAACCCTTCGAGGGTAGGGTCGAACTTTCGTTCTTGCTAAGGTTGTGTTCGGTAACATCGGAGAGGGGACTTTCAAAGCCGAAGCTGGAATTCGGGCTTGCTTCTGCCGGTGTTGATTGCTGGGATATCTCACTGTGCATTCCCCCGGTATGAAGAAGATCTTGTTTCGCCAGGTTATGTTCTTGTTCCATGTTTAGAAAGACATGGTAACCATTCTTCCGATCGGATGCCGGGATACCACCAAGAGGATCGATCAAGATTAGACGATCAAGCGATACCTCATTTCTCAAGGATCGCAAGCGCTCCTCGACAGCACTAGGGGTCTCAACTGATGATTGAGGAGACAATAACCCCGCAAACTCTCGGGTTAATGCCAAAACCACATCACTAGCCGTGGTTGGCACTACCGTCTGAGTAGTATCCGTATGACCTATTGAAGGAATCACAGGGAGTACCCCTCGTCTCAAGGGAGTCATCAATAGCTCCCGCAGTGTGACATGTACCCTGCCTTTCAAATAAGGTTGCTGTATGAAATCGGATCCACTCTCTGCGACTCCTATCACATCATCTACTAGCCGTGCTTCGGTTCCACTGGCATCGATAGCAGCCACAACACGAGCTGCCTGCTCCTTAACCTCGTTTCTCCATTCGCAATTGGATCTCCTCAAAGGAATATCGCTTCCATCATCGCAATCTACCACAACGGTACTCACTAATCCAAGCCTGCTCAATTGTGATAACGTTTTCCCTATTCCATTCAGGGTTTGATCGTCTAGTAGTTGCGGAGCTCTGATTTTCACCAACGCAACATGTAATGGCGATCCGCCCGCTGTTGATGTTTGCAACACTGGTTGTTGTAAAAACTTCGGACTCTCTGCCACGGCCCTTGTGGCTGTATAGATGCTTCCCAAGTTGACTCCCTCCTCCGTTGTTTTCTGCTGGATGGATTCTTGGGGTTTCGGTTTTGGAGGAGCGCTGCTTGGAGGTTTGAAGTTTTGGATATAAGAGCGTGCTTCACGTTTAGTTGCCGAGGAACCAAGCACTGATAGAAAGAAGTCCTAAGCTTATTAGCATCTCATTGAATGGTCCAATGGCATGGCATAACCTACTCTATCAATGGCTTTGGCCTTCTTCTTGGCCTGATGCTGGTTTGAAAGCTTTTCGCAAGTTTCTTTTGCCAAGTCATCCCTCACTCGACTAGCTGCAGATTGATTTGAAGTATAGGTGCGCCGTGTATCATGGTTTTGACCGTGATTACTCCCACATTTTGTCAGTGTCTGGATCTGATAGAAGATTAGCAATGTTCCACCACAGGATAGACATTGACTCACGTTATAACCAGCCGCCTCTCTGCCCTTTTTCAAGGCTAAATTTTGCAGTAACATATTGCATGTTGATTTGAATTATAAACAATGGTTCATTTGAAAGTAATATGAATGTCAAAATTGAGAAAAGATAGTTTTCCAAGTAAAAAATAAATTGTTGTATGAGTATTGATAACAAAGAGAGGCAGATGCATTTGCTTGTGCGAAGCTCGATTTATTTATCCACAGTCATCCGATAACGCTATGCGATAAAGCTCTGTCTGTTAACACGTGAAGAGGTAGAAATGATAAGAGATGAGATTCACAAATCCCTCACATATTCCAATCCAGAGTCATGAAACGATCTCATCTCATCTGATCAACAGGTGCCGTGCTTTGAATTGGGTGTACGGTCTTGTATTGTACAGTACGTTTAGTCGCTTTTGAAAAGATGCTATTACTGCTAACCTTACTTACTGCTTTATTGTTGTGAACAGCGAGCGGAACTGAGCGATATGAACCTGACGTAAGTGGTATTCGTAACTCCGATATGGTATGATATATGTAATCATAAATCCAAGATCGGGACCGAATATCGTATGTATATATCCATGAATGGCTTTGAGAATTGACCAAAGAATCAATCGAAACAAGAATTTCACACTTCCTTACCTACAGATACAACTTGTCTTCATCAAACCTCCTGAACAAAATGGCTCCTCAAGTGGCATGGATTGGTATTGGAAACATGGGCAGAGTGAGCCTTCCTCGAGCTACCCCGCAACGAGATGATAAATTGACGCATTTCCTAGGGCATGTGCAAGAACCTCGTAGAGAAAGGCCAACTCGATAAACCCCTCATAATATTCAACCGCACAACAAAGCGCGCAAAGGAACTTAGCAAGTCACTTCCTTCCGGGAAATCAACCGTCTCTTCTTCCATTGCAGATGTTGTGTCCAAGTCCGATATCATCTTCACATGTGTAGGTGATGATGCTGCTATTAATGAGACAATCGATGCAGCTATCAAAAATGGCGCATCGGGAAAATTATTCGTCGATTGTTCGACTGTTCATCCAGACACTACGGAAGGATTGGCAAAGAAGATTGGTGCTGCGGGGGGAGACTTCGTTGCATGCCCAGTTTTCGGTGCCCCTGCTATGGCAGATAATGGACAGCTCGTCTGCGTACTTGCTGGGCCAAAAGAAAGCGTAGAGAAAGTGAAGCCTTACACCAAAGGAGTTATTGGGAGAGCTATCGTCGACTTCGGCGGACAACCAGTAGGAAAAGCCACATTACTGAAAGTCATTGGAAATACCTTTATTCTCAATATGGTTGAGACTCTTTCGGAGGGTCACGTTCTTGCAGAGAAGTCAGGCTTGGGCAATGATAACCTCCATCAGTTCATCGAAACAATGTTTCCAGGTCCATATGCCGCTTATTCAGGTAGAATGTTATCGGGCGATTATCACAAACGGGAAGAACCATTATTTGCAGTCGACTTAGCCAGGAAGGATGCAAGACATGCGATGGCATTGGCAAAGAGTGCCGGTACTCGTTTGAAGGACGTCGAAGTCGCAGACGCTCATTTGGAGCAAGTGAAGAATCACCAGGGGGCAGCTGGCGACATTGCTGCCATTTATGGAGCAGTTAGACAAGAGGCTGGTCTGAAATTTGAAAATTAGATTGTGGAACATCAATGTTGAGAAAAAAAAACAATCATGAAGATGATGAGAATAAAATATACTTTGTAGTGTAGTAACAATTGAAGTCAGCCAGTTTATAGATTATCAGTGAAGAACCAACAATTATGCATGTTGAGCGCATTGAAGTAAATAGAAAAGAGCTGATGCGCCAAGCCAAGCTCTTAGCGCGAATACAATAGCCCTGAACCAAGCTCCATTGATAATCGTCAACCTCGAATAAGACAACAGCCTTGAGTAACTCCAAACCTTCAATTTTAGACCTACTATCACAGCAATCAACATGGCAAACGGGTATGCATTCTTTGCACGCTTTCAGGCGATATTCACAATCTGCGGGCGTGGCAACAGCTAACGAAATGGATATATAGTTGGAGCATCATCATCGGCCTCATCATCGTAGTGCTCGCCTCTATTGCAGCATGGTTCCTCTCTCCTAAAGGCGAAACTCAAACGTATGTTATCAAGGCGCTCTAGTCTACCATGTCGACTCGGATATGGATGTATATGCGCAATATCTCCAAGCATTTGTGGCTAATTTGTTGGTATACAGAATCTGGCGCAGTTCCCTCATCCTGTCGTTCGCAAGTTGTTATATCATGTGGGGTGCGTAGACTTCCCATCGTTCCGAATTCAATTATATGGAAGGGAGAATAGGAGGGATGGTTAGAAGATTGATACTAATGGTGGTAATAGCAATTACATTCTTGGCACAATGGCACCCACTTATCGTTCCCCGAAGAGGGGACCTGAGACCAGAGTATGCGAGACATATGAGTTGAGTGGTCGCTGAGAGCAATTGAACTTGATGGTGGTTGAGAAAATGAAGAAGGACGAGATGTATTATTTGGCGTTCTTGGGATGGGATTGACTCTGAATAGAGGAATGTAATGCGGCTCGTGTATATTTATAGGGATTGACTGCGGAATGGAAGTTATTCAACAGGGATTATGCGACCAGAAGATCTTGCATGTCTAATTGACATCTATACCTGCGCGGTGAATTTGAGGGCTGCGGATGCTCTTTTTATTCTGGGCAATGGGGGTCATAGGAACATGCTCGGCAGCAATGCCCTGTCCCCTCGGCGTTCTACTATCAGCCCTCTGAACCTCCACTATTATATTGAAATATATGGCATTTATATTCATCGCGTGTATCAATCTTCCTCTACCTGCTTAACTACCCTAATCCCAACCTTCCACCCCATTCCCTGCCCAATTCCACGACTGCCCATAGCGCCTTCCCATCCGCCGCTACCCCTGAATCTCCAACCGTATCAACTCCATCTAAGCCCACCGCCCAAAGTATGCCCCTCCCGACCATCCATCTACTAATAGCTCCCACCGTTGCCAGTATTGCCGCAGTTCCATACCCGCAATCCAATAGTATCTTCAAAGCTTCCACATTATTCGCAACGACAGCCCATCCCAGACTCCTCGCCGCCGCTGGCACATCGTATTCCCATATAACCATAAGAATAGGGAACAATTTCGTAGATGACGAGACGAGGAGAGCTGTAGACACGGAGTTCGGACGTGTGTATTTTGGGAGGAGGCCGAGGAATACTAAGGGCGAAAACGGCGAAGAAGTAAGGAAGCGGATGGAGAGGTGGAAACTTAAAGTTGAGAGAGCGCAGAGAATTAGGAAGAATACATATTGAAAGACGATGGGTTGCGCGGCTAGACGGAGGAAATTGGTATTATCTGTTTCAATGGGGGCGGATGCGGAAACTGAAGTTTGTTTTTCGATGCGCGCCCATGTTAGGTAAACATCAAACAATAGAAGTAGGACACCGAGACGGATTATGGATGACTTTTGTAGGTGTCAACATTGATGATAACAGGAGGAGGGGTTGGTAGGTAGGTATCATACGTCAAATTGATCATGTTCTCTCATCAAAGTATTATGCAGTAAATGTCTATAAACCTTCCCATCGACCACAACTATTAGTTATCCCTCGATTTATATATTTGAAGCAGGAGAAAGTTACCTGTGGTTTGATCAAAACCAAATCGATAAACAAAACCACAAAGTCATGCTCAACGTATTTATCACAAAAACGTCCACAGTTCTTACATACTGTCAAGCGCACACCATGGCCAGTGGAGCCTCCGGAATACTCAGTATAAAGCTGAGAGGTCGGGTATCGACATTCGATACATATGGGCATTTCATAAATTAGGAAGTCGAGGTATTGCAGGGGAGAGAAGACATAATTTGGAGGGATATATTTCTATCAAAGGCGTGAGATGTGAGATTGGAGATTGGAGAACGCGCCGCGCTTCTGTGTATATGGTCCGTGCTTAAGCTACAAATAAATCCCTTCTCCGTGACATGAAGGAAACTTTTGTTTGTATCAAACTACTCTGCTACTCTACCCACCTACTACATGCCAAGTAGTATATCACATATCAACATCCACATTGATTAGACATTCATCTTTGTGTAGTACTTGCGAGTAGATACTTATGCCTTTTGCTCAAAAATCAACTTACCCATGTCACTCACTCGCAAAGCCAGATATCTACTCGGGAAAAACGGCAACATTGTCTCAAAGAACTTTGGAAGGAAGCAAAAAACGCAAGTTGAGAGAAATTGCTCCTGTGAAAACTGCAGCAAGTGTTGCTCAGTTTGATGAAAGTGGCCCGCCGGGTATGATCTTTATCCTCGCAGAACTATCCGGATTACGAGAGCAGGTAGCAAAGCTTGGAGACCGCGAATTATACAAGGTCAGAGAGTGAACCAGGCGACCGAAATTCAAATGGTACAGCGCCAGTTGTCATGAACATACCTCATGACGATTCACCATCTTTCGTGAAATCTGAGCATAGGCCAAACAGCACGGGTCATTTTATTGATGCATGAGTAGGTTCACTCAGTGCGAAAAGGTATGTCGGTATGATTATGGATATCTTCAGATAGAAAACGAACCGACTGTCGATGTCTCTCTTTTTAGAGAAGAGGCCATGGTTTCAGGTATCCGAGATGATCAATAGTTCAGTATGGAATCATTCTTAAATGGCTCCATCTTGATAAAAAGGTGATATACCAGCAGCGAGGGGGGAGGAGAGTAAATATCTCTAGTGAGAGCTTTGCACCGTTTGTGCGTCTGTTGTAGTGATCCCCGATTCTTTGGTCAATAAAGCAGACGCAACTTCATGCTGTACATATCGATACTATCAGACAGACTCCCTGGGGTCCAACGGCTGATGTAGCTAATGCATAGTATGTGCCGGTTATCCATGATCCCAATATATAATTACTGTGTTCATCGATGGAGAGCATGCCACCTTTGCTTTCATTGCTTTCATCGCTTAATTGGTGGTACAAGAGCTTGTTACCTTGGCAAGCTCACGTGTAGTCTGAATTGCGCTACCAACTTGGATCTACCCCATAATGTACAAAGAAATCGAAGGTTATTCGAGCTTTTAAAATCTCAAAACTGTCAACGCTGTCCATCAAACGAAAAGTGTACCTCGCAAAGAACCTTTCTTTAAGGAAAAGAGAGGCTCCGTTCTAAAAAGTTCTTTGCGACGTCGAAGGAACCTTTGTACAAATCATTGTATACCTCACAAGAAAAGGAGGAAAGAAGGACGGTGGGGAGGGGGGGGAAAGGGGGGGGGTAGGGGGTGGCATAATCCACCTCGCCTTGACTCTCCAAAAAAGGTTACCCCAAACGAAGATTAAGCTTGCTTGTCTTTGTTACGAACATGCATTATGTATCTCAAGTAAATCTTACAATATGGAGAACATCACATGGATTTCAATGTGTGATTCTGGAATAACACTATTTTTAAAACTTTGAAATCTATTCCTGCTCGAACAAACAGGCCCGTGGCATATGAAGAATTTCGCACTTTCTCTCCGCCAAGAAAATGTATCGGTATGCCAAAAAGAGGATGGGATTTTTCACTCAAGCCTTATGTTTGGTTCCTCCCTGCTCTTTAAATTCGGAGAAGCAGTTCCCGTCACATTCTCATCTTCGAACAATTGTTTTGGCTCCGAGCTATCCGGTCTTTTGGGGAACTTCTAGCTTAAATTTCCCTTGGAGACATCTTCCCCCTTTCAATATTGATTTACTTACTACCCTTTCTACACTCGGGACTTATAGACATCTAATCAAGTCTCTTCTCTGATATAGTGTTGATTCAAGTGAACTGTTTGTTTGCCTTGGTGGGCCATTATACGATATATATTCTGTAGTCCATGAAACACAAGGCTCCATATTTACGTTTTGGTTAATCGTCGACATGGGGGACTTGAGCGGCATTCCAGCAAATGTTCTCGCACAGCTCCCAGCTATGCCACCACCTCCGGGAGTTGTGTCTAACTTCGTCAACCCCAGGAGTCTGGGTACATCTTTGATTATCCTAAACTGTGTTCTTATCAGCTTCCATGCTGATTGTGGTTTTCATAAGGCTGTACGCGAACGGGTTTCTTCTTCCTAGGTTTAAGCTGGGATGGGATGATTGTACGCTAGCATTTTTACTAGTATCATCGGTCATTTATGACATCTCTAATCCCTTCTGGTGATAGATACCTGCGCCTTGGCTGCGATAGGATGTACCATGCATTCAATCTTCCTGATGACCAGTGTATCTTTTGGCTTCGGTAGACACATGTGGGATATTCGCGTGATAAACCTCAATCATGCAGCAGATAGACAACTTCAAGCCTTTGCTACACTCTACCCCATCACTGTCTGTCTCCTCACGATATCAATTCTGTTACTCTATCTTCGAATTTTCCACATTTTCAGAAGTGTTCGACTCGCTGTATACATCGGTTGGTTGTCTTATAATTTCCCTCTTCTATACCGCATATACTATTGTTCAATCTGTACTGCTAGTGCACTGCCATTGGCAATGCGATCCGAAGGATCTCACTACAGATTTTGCATTATACCAAAAAGTTTTCTTTGTCGTCATCATCGAAAATGCCTTTAATGTTGTATCTGATTTCTACGTGTACCAAATTCCCATCCCCTATATCCTTCGGCTCCCGCTCGGCAAACGCCAAAAAAGTGGACTGTTCTTCATCTTTCTCGCGGGTTTTGTACGTATGCTTTATTTTCAGACGTCATGATAAAACTTGGAATTATGCTATCATGTCATTCTTCTCGTAAGAAGTTTTCTCTCTACAACACACTTAAGAGATCGCGTTTATTCTTGATTTCTTATTGATGTATACTCGTAGGGTCATCGAACTCACTTTTGCAATAATCGCGTCGTGTGTATCAACTATACCAGCATTTTCATCATGCATTGCCTCAGTCATATAATAAAGTCATCTCGATCATTTGTCTAATAATTCTCCTCCCACTCGAAGACCCTCATCGAAAGTACTCCTGGCTCGAGATTCAATACCAAGCGCTTGAATATAGAGGCGCACATAGATATATCTACATACAGCTCAACGCTACCACTACAAACTACCACTACAATAGAACACCTCCAAATATCCAACACCGAAAGTACATTCTAATCCCACACTCCCATGACAGTTCTTCCTTCATCAACAATACCCAAATCACAGTTACCACAAGTATATCAACCATAACCTTGCAGTCCGGACATAAGACTCTCTCTCTACTCAACTTGATAGCTAATTTTGTCAACCGAGAACACAATCAATCGCTAGAATGATGCATGAAATCTTTTCTTTGCTACAGATATCGTACGAAAATGTCCAAATCCAAATTCAAATGAAAATTTCACTTGAACCATCCATCACCAGATATTGACCAAGCTTCGTCACATCATCGTCGTCACATCATCGTCATCGTCGTCGTACACGAAAACAAACAAAGATGAGCACGGAGTACGGTTATCTGAGTTATTGTATATACTGGAGTAAACATACATACATATGTGATTTTCCTCGGGAGCAGAAGAGTTCTAGTTGTTAGATCTTACATTTCGGTTGTTTGATTGGATTTTGTAAGATTTACTGTGACTTGAGGAAATTTATGTTACATGTTAAATTAGTGATTTATTGAGTTAATTCTTGAGAACTTGTTTTTCCTATACTGAGTAATTGTGAATGGTTTTCTTGTCTTTTTTGGGGGGGGGAGGGGGGGGAAATGCATTTTTTGCTCGTAGTATAATTTGAGGGGGGTTGGATGAGGCAGTTTTATTGGTTGGTCGGTTGGTTGGTTCGTTGGTTGGGTGGTAGTATTGATTTTGAGGGCAATTGAGACTCGAGAGCCGATGGATGGATGGATGAATGGACATGGATGGGTCGGTGACGGGTGACTGTGACTGTAGGTTTTATATGTGATAATGTGCATGATATGATAGCTAAGGGTATCTAGTATCTACCCAGCGACCTACTGCCTGCTTGCTTGCTTGCTTGCTACAGTACTCGAGTACTAATGACGATGTAGTAACCGTGTCACGGTATTTATCTGTGGATGTGGATGTGGATGTGGATGCTATAATTTCCACCGTTTGTAAGTGTTGAGGTTTGAGGAGTTGAGGAGTTACATTACCGTGTGAATATTATGGGATATGTAGAACTGAACTTATTGTATAGCTTCTATTAACTTTCTCCTTGGTATTTCCGCATTCATGTCTTTATCTTTTTCTTATTCTTATCGAAAACGAAAATATGGAAATAAGATAAGATTGAAACTCGTGGCTAGAATAAGCTTTCGAGTGAACCATGGATATTAAATAACACGATATGCGATATGAGACATTATACCACCAATCTACCAATCCACCAAACCCTCAAAAATTCAACATCTCCAACCTCGCACCAAAACTCCCCCCATCAATCCTTTCACAAATCGAAATGAACGGATCCCGTACACCCCCCAAAAATATCTTACCAGTCAGCATATCATGCACCGCAACCGTCGTCGCGGGTAAAATATTCCCATCGTCCTCTATCATCTTCATCACATTCCAACCCCAGCCCTCTCCGTCCCCCATTTCCCCTAATTTCATGATTCTATATACTGCGCTTGGGATATTGCCGTAGCTTTTCCGGGTGTCGGTGATGGCTTTGTGGAGGTTAGGGACGGTAGCTGCGTATATATCTCCGTTTTTATCAATGCTGATATCGTTGATGGGATGGGGGACATGAATAGTATCGACTTTTCGAAGACGCTGTTCGGTTTCGAGGGAGAATACTTGGATTTGTCCGGATATGGATGAGGGGATGTAGAGAAGATTATCGTGGCCAAGTGCAAGTCCATTGGGGAGTTGGAGATTGACGGGGGTTTTTATGGTTCCGCAGGAGCTGGATGGAGGCGTACAGTAGCCGATGCTTCCGCCTCCGAGAATGAGGTTGGAATATGTTGGCTGGGGATTGGTGGTTAGAGGTTGGTGTGTATGTAGTGGGGGATGGATACTGGATTAACTTACAGAACTACTGATGGAATGAGGAGTATTGGTGAACATGAATAAATGCTCATCGATCCAAACCACGTGTCTCGGTGTTTCGATATTGTTATTGGCGAAAGTTTGTTCGTGAGTCATGGTTTTACTACCTAGTATGGTTGTGAAGTACTCAATTGCACTATTTGATTTTGTCTGGGTTCGATTGAAGGAGCCTGCTTTCTCCGTATCTCCAAAGGAATGATCATCAACGAGAATAATGTGTAATTTCTTCTTATTTTTTGAATCCACTCGAACGTCAAAACCATGAAGGTTGAGTATTCCATCATGGTTGATCCCTTTGGAATCTTGTGTCTGAAGCCATATCAATCGATCTTTGATCGGGCCAGATCCACGAGTATCCAGAACCGCAATTCGATCTGACAAACTGCGATCTGATATATTCAAGGAGTCAAGACTAATATCACGAAATCGTAAGAAACAAATATAAATATGAGGACACACATAACATACCTTAACGACCCCTCCTCAGCTCGACCCCCAGTATCCTCACACGCCATATAAAGCATCCCACTCCCCTGATGCAACCACATATCCTTACAACCAACTAAACCCGCATTATCAATCCTCTCACACTCCACATCAAAAGTGAGGAACGGTTCCAAAACACGATTATATCCCAAATTGCCAAGAATCAACGATTTGTAAATATATTGGTAGAAAATTGTACTAATTATACCGACCAGCGCTAGCCGGAATCCTATTTTTGCCATGAATCTTAGTTTCAACTTCAACAAGTTTAACTTTAAAAACATAAAAGGATAAGAAATAGAACGGATGATGATGGGATGAAGACTCTCATGAGATTATATGTGGTTGTTTCGCTCAGACGCAGGTATGAAACCTACCCCGAAAGATTATTACGCTTTGATCCTGTTCGATTCGACTCGATTTTAACTCTGAGATACAAAACATATCTGAGCGTACACTGTAGGTAGCTAGGTAGGTAGGATGGAGGGTTTATTTTTGTTTGTACAAACTAAGCACTGTCTTGAGATTCGCAAATTGTAAAGGCAAATTTTTGGAGTCACGGGATATTCATGTGATTCCTGAGTCGTGACATGCTTTCATGAATTTTAACGGTAAACTATGCCATAACAACAATATCACAGACAGAGAGAAATAGCCAGGTTGTTATCAGGTGAGCTCAGGTAGTACTCACTCGTGGCGCTCGATAATATTATATCTTCACCTAATCAATCATCTTCATCAAGCAAGCAAGCAAGCCGAATCATCCTGATAATGTTAAAAAATTGAGATGGAATAATCCAAAACTTGCCAACCACAGAGATGTCACTATATTAGTTGATACTCTCGCGAGACATGATATAGAAGCGAATCATATACCGGTACATATGAATGCTATATAGTCTTGCCACATTAACTCTTACATTTTGTATTAATTGCAGTTTCATCTCATCTCATCTCATCTTCATCTCATCGCTTGTGTACAGTATCTACCACCAGCAGCGTGACAAACAATAACCAGTACTTGAACGCTTTCACACTGCACAACAATTGGGAGAAGAGTATATATAATCTATAATCCCTTCCATATCTCCTTCCTTACCGTTTTATTGATTGTTACAACCTACCGTGACTGTACAACAGCAACTCATCTGTGACGCTGCCATATCTGCTCATCTCCTCAGCGTGACAAAACCGTACCTCAACTTCAACGCACGAACGCATTTCCAGAAGGATTTTGGTGATTGGAATAAACTCCCTTCGATCGTTTCCTTGTGTCACTTTAATTAAGTATGTTTTTCTTTTTCCACAATATCGACTGTGATATACAGATGTTCTATCTTGTTGAGAATAAAGCTACTCGTTATGATTGTGACTTGGGGTCATCGGGTCTGTCTCAGCTAATCATAACGTTAACCCCCCCCCCTAAATACACACTTCTAAGTTCTATATTCCAAGTTCTAACACCATCTCAACACCATCCCATCTCATCCATCACCACAGTATCGTATTACCCATCGGAGCTCTATCTACACCTTCCCTCCTCCTCCACAATTCACCTCCACAATCCATCCACAACCACAACCATAACAATAATCACAACCATAATCATTCCTCCCTCTCTTTTTTTCTCATGATCCAAAAACCATTATTCGAGTAGAGGATCACAAATAAAGCTCTTTATTCATTCCTTCATTCCTACAGTGCTACAGTGCTACTTGCCGTGAAAATATCTAAAACTTGCTTATCATAATCATCCACAAACCATTAAGACTTGGAAACATAGTCTGTCATTTCGAATCTCTAAAAGGAGTTGCTCAAGCATAAGTCAAAAGTTCATTTAGATGCCAAAGTAGATGTATAAGAAACGAAATGATGCATTGAGTCAAGTCAATTATAGTCACGAAGAGAGAGAGAGAGAGAGAGAGAGAGAGAAGGTATCGAGAGCAGAAAACTGTGTTCTTATTCAACGCAGCTTGTCAAGCAATGTAATTCTGATCCTCCCATTAATCACTGATGAGTTTTGTCAAGCAATTGTTCTCACTCATTCCCAACAATAATCAACCATCTCCATCCATCAAGCGATTTTCTCCATCCATTATCAACAATGATCTTCCATCTAATAGTTCTCATCAGAAGATCGTTCTCACTTATCCCCAACAAAGACCCTCCACCTTTCAATCATCCTTCTTCGAAGCCAACAAAGCCTCAGCAACAAGAGGATTGAGCTCCACCAAACCGTCCCAAATCTCTCCATGATGATCCTTGAATATTACTGGTTCTCTGGCCATCATTACCCAAACAGTACACATCACTCCCTTGAATGGAGACAACGCTGCTCTCGCAATCTGCATCCCACCAAAGAACGCGAAGGCAACAAGGACATCAGCCATCAAAATATCGTTCGTTTGGAGGAGGGGCCCAGGCATGATTGTGACCATGAGGTAAGTCGAGATCGCGGCAGCTCCGCCAATTACCAGGGGGGTGTACTGAATGAGTTGGTAGAACCCGGTGGTTTTCGAAAAGAAGTCCAGACCAGTGTTTGACATGAGTCCCATGCCTATCTTGTTTGCATGCCAATATGAGGCTCCATCTAACCCAACGATCACAAAAGCCCAATCACTGATTTTTGCATCAAGAGCGACGTGTAGAAAATTCATGGAAAAGAGAAGTGAAAAAAGGAGTGCCGAGATGGAGGATCGAAAGGGATCTGTTGGAGCGAGGGATACAACCTGCATCATGCCCATACTCAAGTCTCTCAAGACCGAAGAGAGGGAGAGCAAACCAGCTCCAAAACACACGCTCCCAGAGCTAAACCTGAAGATTCTACCGATTGAACATTTGCGACTCGTTGATTTTCCCAGGCCAGGCTGGACATTGGAGATATGCTTGTGGGTGGCTACCGCCGCTAGCGTCTGTGCTAGCGTAGAAATCGTTTGCGTCGCCCAGTAAGTTATCAACGTTAGTAGAATGACACCCATGGTAAACCACGTGATAAATGCGGTCCGATCTTCGGAGCAATCAGGGAAAGCAGTATCGTATAAATGCCTCAGGCCATAGAGGAAATACAGGTAGAAGCCACATATCAATACGGTAGCCACACTACTCGCAAAGCTCGTGAAGAAAATGGAAGGAAATCCCTTCGAAATGTTGCATATCTTGGTGGCCATTGCCTTCGACAAGTAGCTGGAGTCGAACCAAACAACGAGGCAAATCAAAGAGACCGCCGCGAAGATAATGGCCACAAGGCCAGCTTGGTATTGGTCCCGCCAGGTCAGTAGAAATGCGCTAACGATGCCGAAAACGGCAGCGGCTCCCGAAAACCACACGGTGAGGTTGGATCGGCGAATCAAGAAGGTGATACCAAGGAAAAGGTGGGCTAGCACGAAGGAGATCCCGAAGGACGGCGCCCTAGTCGAGGAGTGTCAGTTGCCGTCCATGATAGAAAGGTAAGAGAAGTAGGGGGGGTGTAGGCAAGCTTAAATAGTAAAATGGTCTGGTCCGTGCTAGGCCAGTTGGTGCAAACAGGACAAACTCATCCTATTTAGCTCTAGCATGTATCGAAGACAGAAGGAAGCAGAGGTTCTGATTAGGGAAGCCGCGATGATAGAGCTCAATGTTTGAGATCATGTGAATGCTTGTAGTAGTTTGAGTACATCAAGAACTATTGAATATCCAAGATGCTTTGATAATCTGAAATGATTAGAATATCCTGAATGCTTTGAGAATATCAAACATTGTTGAATATCCAAAATACTCTGATAATCTGAAATGTTTGGAATGTTCTAAATGCTTTGAGAATATCAGATATTGTTAAATATCCAAAATGCTTTGATAACCTGAAATGTTTGGAATGTCGCAAATGCTTTGAGAATATCAGATACTACTGATTATCCAAAACTCTTTGATAGTCTGAAACGTTTGAGATGTCTTCAATACTTTGAGTATATCAGGTGTTTTGAATGTGCAAGGTGCTTTGAATATCTGACATGACATTGATGCTTTGGATACATGGGAATTGAAAAGATAGAAGTGACAGTGGGACCAAACGGCAGCAATAGAGGAGTAATGACAAGAAGATCAAACAGCAGCAATAGGAAGCAGTGACAAGAAGGTTAAACGGAAACAATAGGGGAGGAGTAGTGACAAGAAGGTCAAGTGGCAGTATTAGGGGAGAAGTAGTGATAAGAAGATCAAGCGGCAGCACTTGGGGAGGAGTAGTGACAAGAAGATCAAGTGGTAGTACTAGGGAAGGAAGATCAAATGGATCAATAGGAGTAGAGTAATGACAAAAAGGTCAAACGACAGCAATAGGAAAGGAGTAGTGACAAGAAGATCAAGCAGCAGTACCAAGGGAGGAGTAATGGCAAAAAGATCAAACGGCAGCACTAGGGGAGTGGCAACCATGTCATTGGACAATATCAACCAGGAGATGAGTGAAAAGATTGAAACAGGGCACCAAAGAGATGGCGATGATGAGACCAGATAATGACAATAGCACGGAGAAAGAGAAAAAGAATGGGTGAGAACGGGTAGGTCAATGATAGCGAGTGACAAAGAGCAGAATGAGAAATTGAAGAATCACTTACACCCAAAGCATCTTCTTCCGGAGTAAACCGGATTCCATTCGAGTCTCAGCGATGGTGAGCGGACCCACCCCACAATCGAGTCCTTGCCAGTTGTTTTGGAGAAAGGAGCGAAGCTCCTCCTCGTTTTGACCCGCGAGGATCGCCGTATAGAGCCCGGAGGCCAAGAGAACCGCAACACCGAGAAACAAAATGATGAGTGCCCAGAGGTCACCACCCTCTGGGACTTTATCCGTTGTAATGGTGGACAAACCGGAAACCAAAGAAGAAATGCCCGAAGGCGCCGAGACAGAAGAAGAAGCATTGCCCGAAGGCGCAGCAGCAGAGACCGAGACCGAAACCGAACCAGAGTTGCCCGAAGGCGCGCGAACAGAAGTTGTGCCCGAAGGCGTCACCCGACGGCGGGGACCCATTGTTGTTGTTGTTGTCGCTGCTGGTGGTAACGGTTTTGGTAGGCCTATGATTATCAAAGATTTGAAAGAAAAATTTGGAGAGAGACTTACCTTTTATACATCATGGACGGACAATAATTTTATTGCGTTCCGTGGGTTCTTTCCTTATTTGAAAGTGAAGGAAGGAGCGAACCTTGGGACGAACCTATGATCTCGATCGCCGATCTAGTAATAAGACCGATAAAAAGTTGATTGAACATTTAAGATATAGTAGAAAAGAGGTACTTGTATATTTTTAAGAGAAAGAGAGGAACCTATCTAAAATAAAGACCAATAAAAAGTGAATTGAACCTTCGAGATATTAGATAGAAAGGAACCATTATATCTTTTAATGAAAACTTAGAAAAGACTCAAAAGAAACTCACCTATTATATTTCCTTAAGATTTATTATTTGTTTATTTATCTATATTTAAAGGAATCTGTAATCTCGATTGCCAATCAAAGTATTAGAATTGATAAAAAGTGAATCGAATCTTTAAGATAGGAAAGTAGGAGTTACTGTATCTACTTACTTATCTATACCTCTAAGGGAACCTGTGATCTCGATCGCTGATCAAGTACTAGGACCGATAAAAAGTGAATCGAGCCTTCAAAATAGGAAGGTAGGAGCCACTGTATCTTTTTGGTAAAAAGAGATTTAAGAGAAGAAAGAATCCATTTCACCACTTACTTGCCCACTTAGGTATAGGTAGGTAGGTAGGTATAATATTTACTATCTTATCAATTCCCTGTTGCTCCTACTACCGTTGAACCCTCCAATCCCACCTCCACTCCACGCATATAGGATCCCACGTCCAGATTCTGCTGCTTAGATTCTTCTGCTTCTGCTAGTTCTTCTGGCAACTCCTCTTCTACGCGTCGTCCAGTAACCTTATTATTCAACAATTGATAGCTGATTTTGGGGACAACGACGAACTAAGTACTGAGTAGGTGGATAGGTAGGTAGGTAGGTAATATTAACAACTTCATCTCACCATTTTCATTATTACTCCATCTCAGCTTCTTACCATCTCAACTCCTCATCATCTCAACTTCTCACCATCTCAACTCCTTACCATTTCAATCCCATACCCAGTTGACGACGACGACGACAAAACGGAAGAAGAAACGTTACACTTTGAATCAAGCCATTGAAAGGAATATGCAGCTAAACCCAGCCAGCTCTCTCTCACCTTCCCATTCTCTCTTCCATGAAATGATTGATTGATCTCTTTAATTTGACTTGAGAAGGTGAGTGTGAAAGCGAAAGCGAAAGTGACAGGTGCCATTGCCATTGCCATTGCCAGTAGACCATATAGCTGCACATGAGGGGGTGCGAGGGGATGTGAGGACCTGGAAACACATACCCACCCAACATCAATCTATCAAGACAACAATCAAGACAACATGCTTTAATGAAGACTACCTTAGATATGGTACTTGAATGTCAATACACTGAAATGGCATGGCATATATGTAGATACCGAGCATTTATCAACCTATTCAAAATCGTTGAAATGTGGGAGCGAGAGCGAGACATACGAGATATTGATTGATTTCGAAGGTTTTAAATTAAATTGATGAAGTTGATGTGAGGTGTGAGGTTCAAGAAAAAAAAACAAAAAAGGATCCAGAAAACGTGACGACGCGCATCACCACGCGCCATAACAGCCAGCTACAAACAACTCGGATCAGTAACGTTACGGAGGGGGAAAGGAAGAAAAACTTAAATCCAATAGCATAGCCTCTACCTCTAACTCGATGTGTAAGATTGCAAGAATTTAAAATCATTTAAAATTGTATCTCAGGGGCGTTGTGGTGGGCGTTGTGGATGTGGGAGGAGGATGCTAGCTAGTGCTGCAGCCACAGCCACAGCCACACTTCAACCTTGTTGCACTTGTCGGAACCCTTTCATCCAATATCAAATACAAATCCGAACTTCCAGATATGTACTTTCAGACGCTGACAAGACATTAGCTACATGTTGAATCCACCTTGAAAAAATAGAAGAAGAAAAAAGCCACCCAAAACATCGTTGATGAGAATACCTTCAACCTAATTTAGACCAGTATTGGAATTTCAATATTTACAATCGAGTTACGCCATCTAAGTTGCAGCAAATGAATATAATACATAAGACCAATAATTGAATTCTCCTCACTGATTACTACGAGAATTTACTTTTCACGCCCTCTGCGATCTTAGACTCTGTTCTTCTGATCTCTCACTCTTGCAATCGCAATGCCGCACGCCACATACCGCTCACAGAAACGCCAAACGCCCCCCGCCTGTCAGCCATCATCCATCATAATTTAGCCATTCAAATAACTTCTGATGGCGCCTTGCAGTTTGGTTGCACCCTCTCCGAGAACTTGAGTCAAGTTATCCAAATCATCTCCAGCCGTTACACCAAATTTCCTCACGAAATCCTTTGCAGCGGTTTCGAGATCACCGTAATCTTCTCCGCCCTCTTCGTCTTCAGGTCTTCCGAAGTAAGCGTTGGAAGAGATAGATGTAGCTCCTTCGAAACCTTGTAGACGATTCTTGACTTCTGATTGTGCACTGGGGTCGAATGACCCTTTGCCGAAAAACTCATCTGATGAAATACCCTTTTGACCGCCGAACTTTTGACGGGCGTATTTCTCGCTTTCATCTGCGGGAACGTTAGCCATGAAACCGTGGTAGCTTGCAAATGTAACGACTAACCTTCTTTGGTGGCCTTGATAGGTCCCACTGAGCCAAAACCACCCATCTTCTTTTGTGTAGTAGCTGCAGGTTTCGCACCTCCAATCTGTCCAAAACCAAGTCGTCCCATGCCCATTCCGAGTCGCTCGACCTCGCCAGTTGATCGCTCTCTGCTGTGACCAGAACCATACCCTGTCCTTCCCGGGCTCACTGGTGTTGGCGCAGCAATGCTGGGATCGGCAGTCTTGGTAGTAGTCGACGTTTCTGTCGCAGCTTCTTCAGTCTCAGGGTCGTAACCTAGTTTCTCGATTCTCTCGGCTTCTTCTTTTGCTTTGCGCTCGGCAGCATCAAAGTCAATCGCATCGCCTGTGACCTTCTTCGCACCCAATTTGGCTTTCTTAGCGCCGAGGACATTTGCTTTTCGTGGTCCAGTCCCTGTTGTGGTTCCCTTGCGCAACGCGGCAGATGATGTAATACGACTCGCAGCAGGCGCTGGAGCTGAACCTTCAGGTTTTCCGAGTGGCGATGTTGCTCGTGTAATTCCATTATCGGCAGCATTAGTGCCGGCGTGGAGGAAGGGAGAAGGTGTTCGCCCAACTACAGGAGGTGTGGCAGTTCGAGATATTGGGGGGGTTGGTCGTTTAATAGAAGGTTTATCCCAAGAAGAAAAGAAATCATCTTCCGGTTCTCCAGCAGGTGTGGAGGTTCCATCAAGAGCATCAGTCGCCGCATCAGCGATGACAACTTCATTAGGATATCTGCACATTGGTTAGCGTTGACATTTAACATCTCCAGAAAATATCATACTCAGCAGCATCCTTTGTAGCACGCCTCTTCAATTCTTCCTTGTACTTCGTGGCCGCGTTCGACTGGTATTTGGTTTTAGGATCCTTGCTGTTGAGTGCTGCAGTCCCTCCATTCGATTGAAAGTATTTCGTGGCAGATTCGTTACCGCCAACTTTCATAACTCTCAATTGATCCCATTGCCATTCTGGTCACCAAATTAGTCCCTGGTCTGCTGCGAGGTTGTTCGCCATACATACGGTCAAGGTTCGTCGATCGCACAAAGGAGATGTGAACACCTAAGTTGCGATGATTCGATGAACAATCAAGACAAAGGTAAATTCCAAAGGGTACAGAAGTCCAGGTTGGATTCTTTGCCCCACAATCAAAACAAATCTATTCCGCGAAATATATCAGCATGTGCAATATGGTTAACACCTTTTTAGAGACAGTTTGTCTTGCGCACCCTGTTTGCTGGCTTTGTCTTCAACTTCTCGAAGAGCTTTTGTGACTGCGCTTTAGAAGCAAGAGCGGCCATGTTTAATATCCTTAAAAGGTTTGTAGATGTTGCTCGTTTGAGCTGGAAGCCGTTATGAGTAGTTGTCGAAACAAGAAAGCCCCCTTTTTCGTTGTGAAATGCAAATTAGTGTTGTAGTCGAGGGAACGGCCAGATTGCCATGCAATCGCGCGCACCGTCAATTATGGTTCGTCGTACTAGGTGCCCACTAAGCTTATTTTGGTAAAGCGGCTTTAGATTAGATCAGAGGCACTGAGACGGGGTCACGCCTCTTTTACACAACTCCATAACAGCTTCATACAAGTCATACCAGTAACTCGTATTTACATTTGGAACGGCACAAAAGTTAATTCTTGGTAGGTTCAGTATCTTGTTGGTATTCCCTTGATACTCATCCAATATATCTTTTTCTTCCCATTACTTGAGTCAATTCTTCTACGGTCACAACCCCCCTCCTCTCGTTTTACCAGCCCACCACCCTCCCACCAAGCCAAAGATGCTCCCCTCAATCAGAGCAGCATCTTTGTTCAGTTTACCTCCATCATTGCGACCAATTCTCGCCGCGCGGCATTATGCAACACATACAGGCTTAGGTACCACAAACACCTCGTCGCAACCAAAAAGAAAAGCCGTTACAACATTCAACGATGATGGCAGAGTCCCTTGGCGCGATTTATCGGGACGAGAGAAGGTTGCTAGAACAACACAGCAAACTTTCAATTTAGGGACTGTCCTTATCGGCACAGCATTGACGGTATGCCTCTCACGATGTCTTCATACACTTCATTCCTAAAATTTAAAACAGGGTGGTGTCACATATCTTCTTTACACAGAAGTGTTTGCTCCCGATAGTAAAATCAACCAATTCAACAGAGCGGCCGACCAAGTCAAGGAGGATCCGCGATGCATAGAAGTATTAGGCAATGGAAAGAAGATACGGGCATATGGCGAGCCAACATCGAGCAAGTGGGCTAGAGCCGGGCCTATTGCGTTTGTGTTCCAAATTACATTTTCGTTGCTATGGTGCTAAGTTCCATGTAGGTCTAATATCACGAAAGATCGTCGAGGGGTGGAACATTTGATTATGCATTTTAATGTCGGTACCTCTTATTTTGAAGTCTTACATTCATTGCTTAACTGACATTAATGTGTAGGTCGAGGGTCCGCTGAATAGAGGTGTGGTGAACCTACATATGGTCAAACCACCATCTGAGAGCTCCTTTTTGTACAAATACTTATTCTTGGATGTGAAAGGACATCAGAGGATATACCTTGAGAATGCCGATGCGACGAATGGGCCTGGGAAAGATAAGAGTAGACTTTTCGGGATAACTTGGCGATGATCTATTTATGTGCTTACATTTGGGCTGTTTACCGTGATCCGAGTGGGTCAGGACAAGGCATGACATGACTTAGCTCCTTTCTCCAGATACCTGGCAAGAACTCGATTCTAGAATGAATCCATCCACTATTGTTGGGGCTCAAAAAAAGGCTTCAGGTCAAGTTAGAAAGAAAACTCTGTTCTCTCTAGTTGTCCAAGTTAGCTTAAGACAGTTCTACTGTGAAGAACGCATTTATACTACAATCTGAACCCATTCTGGCACGTCGGACTGCTTCTGAAGGAATATAATATCACATTGCTCAATTACTTAGCACATGCCATGCCAGTGCCCGATACATCCTCAAATGGGAATAAATGTCTCCCTTCCATCAAATCTTTCTTCGCCATTTTCTCTCCCACCCCTTTACTCCCACCAATCCCGGCCCCGGTATATTTACTTCCCTCTCTCATCTCATCGATACTCAAGTACTGTAGCACGGTTTTGTATCTGAACCCCAAAACGTCGTTGGTCACAAGGTTAGGAATTTATACCATGTGGTCCGTGGTTCGGGTCTGTAGAGCGGGATAAAAGATGCCAGGGGGTCAACATCAGCATAAATGGGATCAACAAGCATCTGACAACCGCCAGAGCTATGGCATAACTTACAAGAGGTCTCCGGTATTTCTGTACAAAATTGGTCGAACTTTAAGAAAAGAACTCGGAGCTGAGGTATCCAAGATTCTGTAAAAAATGCGAATGTCAGCTCAGCAGATTTGTGGTGGTGGATAGCATTTCCCTGTCACTTGCGATCATTGCTCAATTTTTCTGCATCAACATAACACTCATACCCAGATTCGCGGTATTCGCACTCCGGATACCTCTACCTACGTTTGAGCACCAACCCCTCCCCTAGAGTAGCTCGGCAAGCAAGTTCGTTTGATCCCTCCTTTTGCATCTGTTTCGTGTGCCTTTCATAGGACGTTGGGACTTTCCAATCTTGTTTTTAGTAACATAAAGCAAAAACACATATTCAATTATATTTCATCGGCCATGCCAGACAGTAACTATCAATTTGTGAGACGAATCATTTCGAGATTTAACATCACAATGCGCCTACATCTCAATTTATACTCCTCCTGCCATCCATAATTACCTTACAAAAACTCCCAATGAGGCAACAGAACTTATGAGAATAACAGAAAATCCTACAGAGGACGTACAGGACCTATTCACCATATTTCTAGGTTTCACCACTGGTGTCCAATGTTTTTATTCATATCCATCATGTGCACTTGCGCTGGGTACAGGCGTCACAGCACTAGTAGTATTTCCTTTTTGATCCTTAGCTTAACTTGTCTTCCTTGCCCCATTCTTTCGAGATTAGATGGTCCTCTCGTTTCTGTGAGGCTCACTGTACCCGAAATAGTACTGGTTTCAGTTTCTCTAAGAGTAGTAATATCATCCACAGGATACTAGCCTCCCTGAAGTCCTCCGGCTGTAACAGCTTAGGTACGTACCCGGTCCAGAGGGGCTCGAAAGGCTTTTCACGGGCATGTACTAGGTGCTACCGCTGAAAACTTGGGGCGCTGTAGGGGAATACGCGGCGATGGAAGTTTTAGTGGGAGATTTGGAGGAGGGGTTAAATGATCGTGTATTGGGCGATTGGCATTTACCAATAGTAAGCCACATATAGAATTGTATATTTGAAGTGGTTTCAAGCTCTTATTTGACAGTACCATGGAAGAAGATATAGCTGTGAGAACATAAGCATAAACAAGTCAGAGTAATCGAGTCTCGCCCATCCTCAACAACGAAGATATATTTGCAAATTTCAACGCTGTTGAGCCCTCGGTATTTCCACCCCAAAGATGCTCGTGACATAATGCCTAGATCCAAAGATGAACGGAGATAACAGGATATTAACAAAGGTGAGCACTCCGCCATATAATTAAGCCGCGGTATAGATCATGGGCGTAAGCTCCCTAGCCTTTAGGAGATTAGCCCGGCGGGTTACTTACTTGTTGTCGTTGAAAAAATCAGTGGTCAAACGATGAGAAGCTGGCAAACTAGTCGCTCAAGTACACTCATAATTTCTCTAGTTCTCGGATTTGAGATCATATACGAGATATGAATTGAACCTCCTCTCACCGTTCACTATGCCTTCGCCTTCCTCTTACGGTCGATAATCGAGTATAAAACTCAAGTCCCCTCTGTTTCATTTTCTCTTCCTTGTATTTAACCTAATACCGCTGGCCTAAGTGCTAGGATTATGAGATCGATCACTGGAGGAGGACCCATGAAGAACTTCGTGAAAGTCGAACTTCAAACAACGTGCTTCACGCACATAAACATTGAAGATCACAGACTGAGATACATGGTAATTTCAAGACCTGATCTTATGGATAGGACATCTATTATTCACAGAGACTTTGACATCCGACCCCAAGGGTCACTCGCGTGGCTAGCCCATGAGCGCTTATTTTGGATGACGTGAAAAGCTTAGAATAACTCAAAAGATGTTTGCTCGAATATTTCCTGCAGTGTCTTTTGCAACTTTGAATCTATAGGCATAATAGCATGAGAGAGAGCCCCTTCCCGAACACTTGAATTAGTACCTT